AAGGGCAAGTTAAAACCCCTGTTCAAATATATAGATATATTTCAAACAGGTCTGACCACGACGTTGGGGTAAAATCTAACTTGTTCACTGTCAACAAGCATACAGGAGCAAAGTGAACGATTCAAAATGTACCTAAAAACAAGTCAACTTAAAACCAGGAAACACAGAGAAGTCAAACCCATCGATCGCTACTGCGTGAGCTCTGCCCGGTGCTGACTTCGGGGCATGCATGCGAACATGTAAACAACCGGGTTCGCGGGAGAGAACACTGTCGCCCTGGATTTTGAAAACCAAGGACACATCCCTGCTATCCACAAACCATACCTCCCAAGCGAAGGACGACCCAGAGGCTGGGAAGGTTCCCATGTGACAAAGGACACGCTGGGAAGCCAAAGACGGGGCTGGGGGTTAAGGGCTTTGGTGTGGGAGGCCGAGAAGACCAGCAGGTCGGGACTGGGAGCCGGCCGACCGCGCGGGGAGCAGGGGCTCCGCGCGAGCCACAGCATCCTCACCTTGCCTTTGGTCCGGCTGGCCTTGGCCTTGGCCCGGCGGGGCTTCACGGCCTCGGCCATACACTCTGCCTCCTCGACGTCGCCGTCTGTTTCTGTCAAACTCCTGCAATTCACGCAAGACGCCCAGTTCCGGCCTCTGGGTGTCACGTGACGGGCCCTCCACCACTCCGGGAAGGGAGGCGGCCGCGGCAGCCCGTGCGGGTACGGGCTGCGACTGGGAACAAACCAGCCGGGGGGGGGGGGCTACTTGCGCGGGGAAGGCCCCGCCCATCCTCGCTCAGGCCCCGCCCCAGCCCTGCCCTCGCCCCGCCTCCGGTCCCGCCCTCTGAGCCCCGGTCTGTGCCTGCGCCATTGGCCGCAGGGTGGCATTCAGAGCAGCCCTCTCTCGGCTCTGCAGCTCTACAGAGGTGCTCAGGCTGGATCATGAAGTGCCACAAGAGGCCTTGGCAAACTGACTTCGATCCCTAAATAACTAATCCCAGCCTAAATCTGCATTACATTTCCGGAAAGAAAACTGATGTCCTTCTAAAGCGCACTCCAGTCTGCTGTTTTGTAGAAAGGAGTGCTGATACTTCCATCATGAGTTAATTGCAGAAGGCACTTGGATAACAGCAGGCATCCCTATACTAGTGTTACTGTACAAACTTGCTGGCTAGAAAAGTTATAGCTGCTCCAAAGACAGACTAAAAGGTTGAAGGACGCAAGACCGGAAAAGAATTTAGTGTACATTTGCACACTTCGTTTCACTTGAGGATTCCAGATCTTTAAAAGAAGGAAGTTGACTTCATCTCCTTTTCACAGTCCTGATTTCTTTTTCATGAGCATGTAGTGCCTCTTAAAGTAGTATATATTTCACTTTTGTTGTTTATTGGTAGGATCTACCAACCCTCCTGGAAGGTCAGCTCCTCAGAAAAAGGTTAATTCCTTCTCTGCTGTATCCTAAGTATCTCCAAACAATAGCCAGCACACAGTATATTATACTTGATGAATAGGTGAGTTGTTTTGTCAGGGGACACATAGAATCTACAGGATGTGGGAAAAGACTAACCACCCACTCTGAAGGTATCCTAAAATGAAAATCCCAGGATTATGGCATGAAAAACGGGAAGGCCTGGGCATAGTGGCATAGGCCAGCAGAGGCAGGTAGATCTCTGAGTTTAACGCCAGCCTGGTCTACAGAGCAAGTTTCAGGACAGCCAGGACTAAAAAGAGAAACCTGTCAAAAGCAGAAGAGGGTCTCTCTCTCTCTCTCTCTCTCTCTCTCTCTCTCTCTCTCTCTCTCTCTCTCTCTCTCCCTCCCTCCCTCTCTCTCTCTCAGTTTTGTTGTTGCTGCTGTTGCTGTTGTTTTGTGAGACAGGGTTTCTCTGTGTAGCCCTGGCTGCCTTGTAAACTAAGTTGGCCTTGAACTCAGAGATCCACCTGACTCAGCCTCTGTTGGGATTAAAGGTGCGGCCACTTTTCCCTGTATCCTCTTTTCTATAGGTAAATATTTAGTGTCTTATGTGGTATTAGAAATTTGAACTCAGAGCCTTGCATATGCCAAGCAAATGCTCTACAACTGAGCTAATTAGCCCCTGCATGATGTCTTGTCTCTGATCATGTAAGGTGGCTTGGTGGGTTGGGGTTGGGGATTTGGAGGTGACAGTTGTTTTGTTTCACGGTGCTGAGGACTGAGCTCAGGACCCCAGTACAGTAAAGCTACATCCCCAGTTTTGTGAGCACAAATCATCATCAACAAAAGTTAACAAGCTCCCTAGAATGTAGACAGATTTGGTAGTTCTGGCATTTGTATATACTAATCCTTGGAGAATTGATTCCAAGACCCATACCCCGAGTCACACCTCTGACACTCCACCTTCACAAATACCAAGATGCAGATATATAAAGTGGCATAATATTTCCATGTGACCTATTCAAATCCATCTATATATTGTTTTTCTTATTTTATCAGTGTATACAATTATCTGTTTATGGGATGCCGTGTGACACTTTGATTAAGGTAGACATACTTAAGTAAAACTTTTCATCATTTCCCTGAGCTCAAGTCATGCTCTTGCCTCAGCATCCTGCATCTCCACACAGATGCCACTGTTCCCAGCCTAGCCTCTATTCTTAGCGGTCTGGACACCACCACTAACTTCCACGGTTCCTTTTGGTCTTAAAGTTCTCTAAGTGGCACCTACCACTTGTCCTGCAAAGCAGAACTAACTCTGATGGTCCCCTCCCACTCTCCAAACAGTCCTCCTACATTCCTGTGTGTGTGTGCATACAAATACATACATTACATATGTAGAACTAAATCTAATGATCCCCTCCCACTTCCCAATAGTCCTCCTACCTTCCTGTGTGTGTGTGCATACAAATACATACATTACATATGTAGAACTAAATCTAATGATCCCTTCCCACTTCCCAATAGTCCTCCTACCTTCCTGTGTGTGTGTGCATACAAATACATACATTACATATGTAGAACTAAATCTAATGATCCCTTCCCACTTCCCAAATAGTCCTCCTATTTTCCTCTGTGTGTGTGTATATATATATATATATGTATATATGTGTAAACATATATACATATGTGTGTATTCTATTTGGTTGGCTTGTTTTGTTTTGAGACAGGGTTTCCTTATGTATGCTGATCATGTTGGCCTTGAACTCACAGAAATCCCACAGCCTCTCCCTCCCAGGAACTAGGGTTACAAGCTTGTGCCAGCACACCCAATAATTCTCATGAAACAGCATTGCAAAATTTAATATGAGCATGATGTAGAAATCAGCCAGTGTCTGGGACAGCATGTATGAAAGGGTTCAAAAAGCTGCTGCGCTTCTGCTGGAGGCCTGGGGGTGGACCCACGAGCACCTATGCTGGGATCTCTGTCGCACTCTGGTGGTTATTCCCAGTAATAACAATTTCTACAAAGGGTTCTTGTTGTCAATCACTTCCCGCACAGCATCCTGTAGGAGGCCTTATTTTATCATTCCTGATTACTAAACACATGTTGTGAAATTGATGTGGAAACAGACAAATTTAAGCCAGAAGCATGTCAGTGTCTTGAGTCAATTAGCATGTAAACTAAAAAGTGCCCAGCTTACGTATGTATTTTACAGGGTACGTGACTTCAGCCTGAGGCAGATACGTCCATTACCTTCTTCTCTTGAACCTGTGTCTCTCTAGCTCACACTTGTGGTCTCATAGAAGATTCCTTCCACCCAGCTGACAGAGGAGGGAAAAGCCCGGGCAGGGTTCAAGAACCTCCTCTCTGTGTTCATGGTTCCTGAGGATGTGGCCTGATGCCACAATGCAGAACTCAAGAATGACTAAAATAAGGATGGTAAGAAGTACTCCCAGTAGCGCTATGTCAATCAGCACAGCTGGTCACCAACACGCTGTGAGGGGGCGGGGCAACCCAAGGTGAACTGACGGACTGGACGGGGAAGACAGTTTGAAGACTGAAGGCAGAGAGCTTCAGAAGGAGTGAGTGGGTGGGCTTATGCAGGTAAGCAACAAGATGTGCAACCGTCTATGTCTCTTACTGGTGACTATAAGGGAATTGCCATTGCTACTTCAAGCGAGATGCAGGAGTGCATGGCTAGGACTCTCCTTGGTCACCTCCTTGGTAGCCCATGAACAGGAAGGTCATGCTTAGGGAACTGAGAATATACAAGGACCCTCTACTGACCCATGTGATCTATGACTACTGCTGATTGTCTGTGCCGAGGCCAAACTCTAAGTCTGTTCCCACCCCTCCAAAAGACCGACAGTGAATTAAAACCATCAAATCTCATCCACCCTGGAGCAGGTAACCACTTCTCCCTGCCAGGTCAGACTCCAAGAATGGGTTGGCCTTTGACCTATAGTGCCTGGCCAGTTTATAGAATGCCTGGTAAATCATATGAAATTCCACTTAACATACCTTGATGTTTCTAAAATTATTTTTTCATTATCATTCCCTAAGTACTCTTTTAGACACTTCGATAATTGCCATTGTCATGAGATGTTAATGTGAGAGGCACACTGTGTCTTCGCTTAGAGGCTGTGGATGTGCTTTAGACCTATGAGAGAAAGGGGAGGGGTTAGGGACTTCGGAGATGGTTCAGTGGGTAAAGTGGGCAAGTGTGAGGACCTGGGTCCTGACCCCTAAAGCCCACATAAAAGCCAGATGTGGGGAGGCACAACTGTAACCCAGGACTTCTACACTGTGAGAAGTGACGACAAGAAAATCCCCACAAGCCCAAAACCAACTAGCAGGCCATATACAGCAGCAAGGGACAGAAGACCCGTGTCAAACAAGGTAGAAGGCAATGAGCATCGTCCCAGGTGATCCTCTGACCTCCACACATGCAGCGGCAGGAGCCTAAACTCACACACACACACACACACACACACACACACTCACTCACTCACACATACACACTCACACACACAAAGAGTCAAGAAAGCATGTAAAGATCAGAAGAGACGTATGTTTAGCACAAGAATCCAAATTAAATCCCAAATCATCAGGAACTTTTATTTTACTTCATGTCAAGCGGGGGGGGGGGCAATAAAATAAAAATATTATTTTACACTCATGAAACATGTTTACATCAATTATGCTGATTGGTAGAAAACACAAATCATTGAGGACTTGGCAACAATAAATAATATACTTAAAAACAGAATTGCTATGTGCAATGACAATTTCCTGAGGCTTTCCCATTTGGGGAAGTCGGTGGGCCTTTGCAAACCTGAGTTTCTCAAAAGGATGTCCAGCTGGTGCAAATTTCCTGTCATGACAAGAAGTTGCTGAGGCTGGGAGCATCTTATACTGAAAGAGGGGAAATAATCGATCCTTTGGTGGGGGAGGGGTGGAGATGGGTTCTCACTACGTACCCAGGCCAGTCTTACACTCACAATCCTCCTGCCTCAGCTTCCAGCATGCAGTGATCACAGGAAGGCACCACCAAGCCCAGCTTTCAACCCTATTTTAATCAATTTGTTCAAAGTCCCAGAAAAGCTACTGAACGAAGGAGAGGAACGTGTCTGTTCTTTGCAGTGACACGGACATTTACAACATGCCCCGTAAGAAACAGCGCTAACGTACTTTGTCATAACTGAAGTGTGCCACTTTCTCGGGTGTGATAAGTGGTGAGTGAGTTCACAAAGGGAGAACCAAATAACGAATGCCTCTTTAAATGTTCCAGGGCATGGCAAGGGATGTGTGTACACACATGTCAATCAAAGCTCTGTGTGTGCTACAGCACGTGCGCAGGCTAGAGTGCATGCATGTCGACCACAGCTCTGTGCTCAGCATGTGTGCATGCATGTCAACCACAGCTCTGTGTGTGCTACAGCATGTGTGCAGGCTAGAATGCACGCATGTCAATCACAGGTCTGTGTGTGCCTCACAGCACATGTGTGCAGGCCAGAGGCCAGCTGTGGACTGGGTTGTCTCCTCCCACCTTTGTGTGAGTTCCAGTGATGGAGCCCAGGTCCTCGGGCTTGCACAAGCACCTTTACTCCCTGACCCAACTCGCCAGCCCTTCTATAACTTGAGCACGAGCATGGCGGGCTCACAAAGGGCTGGAAGACTAGTACTGTAGAACACACACATATGCTAGGTCTGGTTCTGTCTCCTCTCTTTGGCTGTCAGAAATGTAAGGAAACTGACCTCACCCTGTTGGGTCTTGCTCTCCATCTGTAAAATGAGCAAGTCCACTCAGACGTGTCTAAGTCTTCCAGGCAAAAACAAAGGTGGCCTTAAATATTGCACCACTGAGAGAGGGCGTCACTGTTTCCATGGCCCTACTTCCCACAGCCCAAGGAGCAGCTTCGGCAGCTGACACCATCTTCTGCAGCCCTGCCTGCCTGCCCAAGCCAACACTCTGAATCCAGAGTGGCCTTGCTTTCCCAGGCAGGAAATACCACCCATAACCTTAGTAACTAGCCGGGGAATAATAATTCTTCCTCCCAGGGCACTATGTAAACTTTCTGAAAAGAAAAAAAATGAAGAAGAAAAAGAACTATGCAGACCTCTACTTGGCTAGGTTGAGTCAAATGTCTACTATAAATTTAAAAATGTCAAAAATTTTTCAGCAAGGGTTCCCATCGAAGTCTTCATGATTGACACGATTTGGTTAGATTGTGCGGCTCTCGGGGCCTCTTCTCACGTCATAGAAGCAGTAACTGAGAGAAGTTTTCTTTTCTGAAAGAAAATAGCAAAGACGTTTCATTTGAATGGCCTATTCATGCAACTTGTGAGTGTGTTTAGTCCAAGAAACAGATGGTGAGGAGAGATGCCCGGTCACCACGGAAGCTCTTCGTGGAAATAACACGGCACTGATATTTTTAATTAAAAAATTATTATCTGTCTTTATTAAGCATGTTAGAATTGAAAACAGGAGTAGCAGCTAAAATTCAAAAACTATTGAACAAATTACTAATGCCTAAGGTCTCCTATGAAATGTCAACCTCTACGCTACAGTCAGATATATAGTGTAATACATTGCTTAACTAAATAAATTAAACCGAGTTCCTGTCCTTAAAATTCTCTGAATTTGGGGCTAGAGAGATGAGCCAGTGGGCAAGAGCGATTGCTGCTCTTCCAGAAGACCTAAATTCAGTTCTCAGTGCCTATCAGCCACCTGTAACTCCAACTTCAGGGGACCCAGCGCCCTCTCCTGGACCCTTCCGGCTCCTGCACACGAGGAGAGAAGGAGTGGGGGGGGGGGGGGAGAGCAAGTTTTAAAAATTCTCTGCAATCCGGACAGTTATATGTGTACATGCTGAGCCCCTATCCATTGAGCTGGTACAGACATTAAAATTATACAGCTTGAGAGATCTACTCATTAAATGCATGGGCATTGGCATCGTGCATTCACACAAGACTCCTGAACTCTGGGGAACCAGAGTTCTATATCAAATGCTAGTCTTAAGCCCATGGCACATGTGCTTTATCTAGATAACAGCAGGAAATGAAGAGGTAAAATATTAGTTCATGTTACTATATGTACAATGTGCATATTTAATACGCTCTTGGGGCTGCCAATACTTTGTCCCACAGCCATCGTTTGCACCACAATCCCGAAAGCAGATCTGCCTGATGCGTGATTCACTCACCATGTCCATGCTTTGTCTCTAATAAGGGCTCTGAGAAAGAGGCAGTATTTTGACAGGATGTAAAGACTACAATTTATATTATATTATATGTACACCTAGCTAGAGAATGGAAAATTTAATGTCTTCAGGTTTCATCTTCTATAGTAAACTTACTCACACCTTAAACATAGTTATGAAGCAATCTAAGGTCTCCTATTTAATATAAATCGATACCAGTTAATTATTTCTATTTAATTAAGACAGCCTGGCTCCTGTCCTGTGTAGCTAATTAGAGCTTAGTCAGAAAGTAGACAGTCTGGGACCTGAATGGACATTGTATCTCTAATCTCCTGGTGCTTTCTGGTAGGTTAGGACACAAGCCCAGCAAATCTCCAGAGCGCACAGCTAAAACCTGTTCTGCTTCATAACTGACAGTAAATGTCATCAATACCAGGAACAGCAGAAGTGTCACCTGGCCAGGTCTGCCATGCCCCCCCCCATCCATCCACACACTCTCCTGTGGCTCCCAGAAGCACGTGCGATCAGAAAAAAGGCAAACAGCTCAACTGTCTCATCTCAGACAAAGGAGAAACTGAGACAGCCCAGAAATGGAAAAGCTCCTGGGAAATGGAGCCCTCCTTCTTTGCTGCTGAAATCCCACACGGGTACATCGCCGCAGGCTCAGCCTGCCCGGGCAAGCAGTACGCTGTACAGGGAGTTTCATTTAGCATTGCTTTTGTGAAAACATGCCAGCTCTCTGAGTGCCCAGAGGACCAACCAGTCACTGTGTGGTCACCTCTGTTGGTTAGCAGTGCTGTGGTTGGTTAGCAGTGCTGAATTCTCACCCAAGAATCCTTGTGATGAGCTAGTTCAGGGAATGACTACCTGTGACCGGGAACAGGCTGACTCCCATGATCCTCCTGTGTTTGGTGAGTGTGATACCACTTGCACGGTTTTCACTGACCTCTCCCCTTTCAGGAATAAGGAATCCGTTAAAGACGGAGAGCCATGTGCGTTCTGTTTCTGCGGGTGCTGAAACGTAGGTGTGTAAAGGCTACAAAAAGGCTAAGCAAACTCAGAGTCACAGGATAATGAAAATGAAGGGAAAATTCCCTCACTCCAACAGGTTTCCAGGCAGCTCAAAGTTGTAGACTCTAGAGGCAAGCCTGAAGGGACAGAGAGCCCAGCATAGCCACCAGGATGCTGTCCAGAGGCAGACCTGGCTTCGTGGTGATGGTCTAAAGAAGATTCGAAGGCGTCAGAAATGCAATTGTGAAGGGTTAGAGGCAGAGTAAGGGCTCTTACCCCCATTGTGCTACTGATACAGCAAAGTGTAGTCCTCCACCAAAGAGTAGTCAGGATCACCTGCAGAGAAAGGGACACACGACAGAATCAAGCTAATCTTTTGTTTTGGTTTGGTTTTTGTTATTTTTAATATAAGACCTTAGCCCAGTGTTTCTCAACCTGTGGGTCAAAACCGCTTTGTGGGGGGGGGGATCAAACAATCCTTTCAAAGGGGCCTCATATCAGTCAGATAGCCTACGTGCCAGACATTTCTATTATGATTCATAACAGGAGCAACAATGAAAACAATTCTATGGTTGGGGGGGTCACCATGATGTGAGGAGCTTATTAACGGGTCACAACATTAGGAAGGTTGAGAACCACTGTGTTAGCCCTTTTCACACCTGAGCCGTCCACCTCAAGATTCAAGATTCGGACATCTGCCTTTTTTAGACTAAATGCATCAAAATGCAAAATATGGGCACCAAAGTCCATAATTGACTACAAACCAGAGAACATTCTAGAAATGGTTATTTGCTCTTTTTCATTCATGTGCATGTCATAGTAAAGTCATCACCAAGAATGGGCAAAAATGAAGTCACTCATTATTAAGTAGCAATTATAAGGCAAGGAGAAGTAAAATAAGTTAAATAAGGGTCCCAGGCGTTGAATTCAGCCTTGATGGCAAGCCCCCTGAGCCATCTTGCTGGCCCAGAAATTGTTTGCAGTCATTAAATTTTTACTGAGACGCCTCAGTCCCCCGTGAATACAGCTACTTGAATGGTTCTTGCCCAAAATGATAAACACAGCTATGCATCTAGTACTACGCTAATGGTTTGAGATGATAGGAGAGGGAAAAAGGCAAAATGCATCTCTTCAAAGGTGTTGTAATTAGCCAGAGAATACAACTGACCAGAAAGAAAGAAAGAAAGGAAGGAAGGAAGGAAGGAAGGAAGGAAGGAAGGAAGGAAGGAAGGAAGAAGAAGAAAGAAGGAAGGAATGAAGAAAGAAAGGAAAGAAGGAAGGAAGGAAGAAAGAAAGAAAGGAAGGAAGGAAGGAAGGAAGGAAGGAAAGAAGGAAAGAAGGAAGGAAGAAAGGAAGAAAGGGCTACGTGTGGTTCTGTCTGCGGCACTGCAGAGGAGAAAGGAGATCAGCATGTCTGGAAAGTATATGATGTTATAATTAAAGACTGCAGAGTGAGACCCTACCTCAAAAAGAAAAGTCTTATAGTAAGATTCAAATATAGGCACAATCTCTTAGGAACTCGATCTTGTCACGAATGTCTAACCCGACATCCATGGGCCACACAAAGCTCAGGATAGCTATGAACAAGGCCCAACACAAACTCAAAAACTTATTTAAAACACATTTTTTTTGGTAACTAGACTGTACTGCTTTCAAGCATGGACTCTGTAGATGATGGAAGCTGTGTCATAATGTCCAAGTATCGGGCATGCTTGGTTCTAATTTTCACGTTCTAGATATTCAAATTCCAAGAGGCTTTTCCTGGTGGCATACATACTTGGTAAACGTTTAGGAACTGGGAGAGGTCCTCTCCTGTAAGAGATAAAAATCAAAGTCTTTCAGGCGAGCTCTGATTATTTTTAGATCTTTCTACTTCACGCTGCAAACAAACCACACTGTAATCCGCTGACTTCTACCCTAGAGCGTCAGGAAGGCTCAGATGAAGCAAACGATTTTCAGCCCCGACTTACAGAAACCCAAAGGGCAGGCATGTGTGGAGCCGATGAGCAGACTGCACAGCACTCAGGAGTGCGGAGCTCTGCCCAGGGCCTGCTGGAGGGGTTTTAATCTCAGCTATTGGAACAAAATTTACTGATCTCCTGGCGAATCAGAGTCCTTGTGCGTAGAATGAGAAACACAAACAGCTCTCCCGTCTCTGGGAGAATTGTCAGCTCAGCCATATTAACTGTTTTTTGAAAGGTCCTTGCTATCGACAGCATGCATTGACATTGACCTCTCCCAAACACCCTCCACCAGTTGGATGGAAAACTCAGCAGATGAGACCTCACCCCCTTGCCCACTGGCTTGGTGTAAAATAAAAGTTTCTTTCCAGTCAAGACCCTTTATATGAGGAGGAGCACATTCTCTGTCAACGGGCCCAATGGAAGTGACTTAGCTTTGCTGGTCACAGTGTCTCTGGTGCACCCCTGATCAGGTCTAGTAGGACGACAGCCAGATAAAAAGAGAGACCCACTGACTATGCTCCAGTGGCTTTCTATATGAACACCAGTCATTTAAAAATATAAGCCAGGGCTGGGAAGATGAATCAGTGGTCCAGAGTGCTTGCTGCTCTTCCAGGAGAACCAAGGTCAGCTCCTGGAAACAACCACCTGTAACTCCAGCTCCAGGGAATCTGATGCCCTCTTGTGACCTCTGTGGGCATTCACATAAAGGCAGCAAGCAATGGCACAGACACACACAGATAAAAATAAATTTTAAAAAATGTAAGCCCAGCGTCATGTAACTAATCCTAGCACTCAAAAGCTAGGACAGGAAGAGCTCTGTGAGTTTAAGACCAGTCTGGGCTACAGAGCGAGGTCCTGTATCAAATATAGAGAGAGACAGAGACACAGAGAGAAATCCTTCTTAACTCATAGGCCCTATGGAAATTAGTAGATCAGATTTGACTCAAAGGGGGGCATAGTTTGTTTATTCCTGTGTTCTATCAGTCATATGAAGACATGGAATTCATAAATAAGTAATGCTTTAGCACCCCAGAAATTACAACTAATAAAAGCTATATAACATTTGTTCTAAAAATGCTATTTCTAAAAAAACTCAGTTTACTTACTAGGTAAATTAAAAGCTATATAATATTTGTTCTAAAAATGGTATTTAAAAAAAAAGTTAAGTTTCCCTGCTAGGTAAATTATGCAAATTTGGTCAATTCAAAATAAAGGGTAATACCTTAGATCATTAATAACATAAACATTTATTAAAATATTTTTCTTCACATGAAAAGCAGTTAGTTATTACCTTGCTATGTTAGGCCCTGAAGTCTTTCCCGGTGGAGCTGCACTCCGCTGAGGAGAGTAGAAATTCTCATACATGATGGGGGCTACAATTATTAAGACAGAAGGCATCAGAAATGAGTAAAGGTTGGGGTTGTCCCACAGTTGGTAGAGCAGTTGCCTAGCATGTACAAAGCCCTGGCTTTGTCACACAGTGCAGTGTAAGACAGGTCTGAGTGCTCATGTCTGTCCCCGAAGAGAGGCAAAAAGATCTGGGGTTCAATGTCATCCACAGCTGCACAGAAAATTTAAGGTTAGCCTAGAATACATGAGACCCTGTCAAAAAAAAAAAATGGTAGGGAGACCTAGAATGTTCCGAGAGCCTACATGTCAGAGACTGTCCCCACCTTAGCACTAATGGAAGGCAATAGGCTCTTTGAGTATATCCAATAGGAACACACCAGGTCAGCCCATTTTACCCTAATAGGAACAGACCAGGCTAGCCCATTATACCCTAATAGGAACACACCAGGCTAGCCCATTGTACCCTAATAGGAACACACCAGGTCAGCCCATTGTACCTCAATAGGAACACACCAGGCTAGCCCATTGTACCCTAATAGGAACACACCAGGCTAGCCCATTGTACCCTAATAGGAACACACCAGGTCAGCCCATTGTACCTCAATAGGAACACACCAGGCTAGCCCATTATACCCTAATAGGAACACACCAGGTCAGCCCATTGTACCTCAATAGGAACACACCAGGCTAGCCCATTATACCCTAATAGGAACACACCAGGTCAGCCCATTGTACCTCAATAGGAACACACCAGGTCAGCCCATTGTACCCTAATAGGAACACACCAGGTCAGCCCATTGTACCTCAATAGGAACACACCAGGCTAGCCCATTGTACCCTAATAGGAACACACCAGGTCAGCCCATTGTACCCTAATAGGAACACACCAGGCTAGCCCATTGTACCTCAATAGGAACACACCAGGTCAGCCCATTGTACCCTAATAGGAACAGACCAGGCTAGCTCATTGTACCTCAATAGGAACACACCAGGTCAGCCCATTGTACCCTAATAGGAATCCATTGGGGACATGCCGTGGTCTCCTCTTTCACATCCTGGCTATATGATGAACGGTCCACTGAGCCACTGTCTGCCATAGTGTACTGCCTCACTACAGCCTGCATCAACTGACTGGACTAAAGCCTTGAAACTGTAGCTAAAACAAACCCTTGTTTTACTGGCCCATGTACACCAGGTATTTGTTACAGCATCGGAAACTGACTAATACAGTGCATCTTCCATCCTCTGTGACCCAGGACAAGAAAGACTGATACCACTGCTTAACTGTCCCTCCCACCATGCCACCGGCCGCACCTGGTGGGGTCTGTCCAGTTTTACGCTGGTTCACAAAATACTGGATGTCCTTCTCAATGCTGCACATTTCCAGACTCTTACGGACTTGTTCGTACATCTGATAAAACCAAGATAAAGCATTAGTTATGCATAAGCTTATTGATGACAATTGATATGAAAGGAACTTTTATGAGCAGCCCACTCTTTTGCAACTTTGTTTTGACAGCAGAAGACATTCTTAAGTCCAAGACTCACATGAGGGCACCTCTCTAGTCCATCTTGGCTATTGCCTTTCTATTTCCTTTTTAAAATTATCTTTTCCATTCCAATTCCAGTTCCCCCTCCCTCCTCTCCTCCCACTCCCCCCTCCTCCCATCTGCTCTACAGAGAGGGTGAGGCCTCCCCTAGGAAGTCTAAGTCTGTCCCATCATCTCACTGAGGCAGGACCAAGGCTCCTCTCCACCCCCACACCCCCGTGTCTAGGCTGGGCAAGGCATCTCTCCATACAGAATGGGCTCCACTAAGTCAGTTTGTGCATTAGAGTGACATCTTGGACCCACCGCCAGTGGCCTCATATATTGTCCCAGTCACACCACTGTCACCTATTTTAAGGGAGGCTATTGCCTTTTTTACGTGAAAAAAAAAAAAAAAGGAAGATACAAGGAAATACTTCTTTCTGGGCGGACCAAAACCCTGGTTGTGTTTTTGTTTTGTTGTTGTTGTTGTTTTTAAGTATTGATGGAATAAAGAAACTATGTGCCAGGTCCCATGACCAAGCGTCAGTGCCACACACACATGCAAACACAACTCCTTAACTTGTGGGTAAGTTCTTCCATTTGATTCTCTACAGGTTTCCTGGATATCTGATCATTCTTCTAAAGTCATGTCCCACCTGAGGGTGGAGCTATTTCTTAACAAAGGCTGTGACAACCTCATCTGGAGACCCAGTTACTATTGAAGCTCACCAGTTCATTCTGAACAAGCACCACAAAGCTACAGAAGCAAATCCTCACTGGGTGACCATCAGCTTGCCATGGGCCCGTCTGCTCATACGTGGTGCAGGGGGTGATGGCGCTCTACACTGGAGCCGTCTCTGGGACTCACATTCTCCTGTGACATCTGTCTTCCACGTGTGAAACTGTGTCTGGGTCTCATTATCTGCTCTCCATCCCTAACTCTCGGTTTCTTAGAGAGTCACCGTGGTAAAACGGACCAGGGATCAGGGAGAGGACAACACCTCTCAAGTATCTCTCTCTGTACCTCAAAGGGGAGCAGGAAGTAAGGGCAGGGTGGGCTGATAAACACTGATGGTCCTTTCCGCTCTGAAGTTCCTAACCCGCAGAGCACAGCCCTCTGTGCACGCCTCGGACTTACTTCATCGTTTGTGACACACTGCTGTGACAGCTGATTCACATGTAACCACAGTGCATTCCGGAAGAAGTTGATTCGCTCACATTCTTGGGCCTCAAACACCTACAGAAAAACAATTACGTGTACAGGCATACATAAGGAAGGGGCATCCGTTTAGCCAGGCTGTGACCTAAACAACATTAACCTACATTGAGGGGTGGAGTTTAAAAAGAAAGTAAAGCAGAAGAAAGTGTTTAGTATGGGCATAAAGTCTCAGAGTAATCAAATTGCAGAGATGAATCAAACGAGATCAATCAAATAAGGTTTTTTTTTTTTTTAAAAAAAAAAATCACCAGTGTTGGCTTGGGAGCACAGCTCAGAGGACTGGTGCTTGCCTAACATGTGTAAGACTCTGGGTTTGATCACCATCACCCCACAGAGGTAACGAAGCCACAAAGGCCCACTGGACCTCACACCAAGTGCATCCCTGGTATCCATGGGAAAGGAGAAAGAAGGTGTGGAGAACCTTTAGGCTGGGACACGGGACATGCAAACCACCTCATAAAACATGGCTGGGCTAAGAACACAGATCAGTCGTAGAGCACGTACAAGCATGAGGTCCTAGGCTTGATTCCTAGCACGCACACACACACACACTCACACACACACAGGCACGCACGTGTGTGCACACAAATACACTTGCACACTTACGCAATCACTCATCTGTGTGCGTACAAGCACCCATGTGCGTTTGCACATCGGGGTAGACAGAGTCAGGGACAAAAAGAGAGATAGTATATCCCTGGCCAAGAGGGGAGAAGACGATGCGGAGGGGTGTAGAGAGGCCAGCTGAACAGGGCAGGGGGCAGCTCCTTCCCACCGCTGTGAATCCGCACTTGTAATCTTGAACTCACAGAGACTGCAGGCTGTTACCCCGAGAGTTCCTGACTCCAGAAGGCCTGGACTGGGCTGAGAGCCCACATTTCTACCCAGTCCTCAGATAATGCAGGTTCTGCTGGCCCCGAGACGCTGTTAAAAACTGACGTCAGAGAGTTGAGGAACTTTCTAGCTTGTGTCTTTTAAATTTCCTCTAGAAAATTATGGAGTGCTGTGTATTCCCCATTAGAACCTTGCAAGTACAGGCCTGACTCTCGGGGTAATTACAGTGTTCTGCCCACCGCTAACTGACGAAGCTGGGTCATGCCTGCCCTAAGCAAACATTAGCTTTGGAGTGTGCTGGACAGTGAGGTCAGGATGGGGTGGTGGCGGTAAAAGGATGAGGATTAGAGGAAATCGTCCCAATCCCTTCCTTTCTTCACTTAAATTCTCAATTTCTAACTCGGCCTCGTGCTCAATGCCGAAATGCTTGTTAGTACTCAGGCATCTGTACTGACCTGCCTTTGGGGTCCTGACGGGACACACCCTCAGCCGCAGCCACTAAGAGCATCACCTGTGCACATTCGCTGTGTTCCCTTTTAAAAGACCCTGCCCGCCTCCCATCCTTCTCGTTCTCTCTCTCCCTCTCTCTGTCTGTTCTTTTCTCTCCCTCCCTTCCTGTCCCTCCCCATCCCTCTCCCCTCTCTCCTGCTGTTCTCTTCCCTGGAGGCCGGTCTCCCCTCCCCCCCTCCCATTCCCCTTTCCCTGATACAAACCCCTCTGCTTGAACCCTGTCTGATGGCGTCTTTCTCTCTAGTGCCGCTTTTCTTGGTTTACGGTGCTGAATGAAAGATTCTCAGGTTCTGGGAGGAACCTCCGTCCCTCGCTGCATCCAGTCCCAGCCAGGTACCTACCTCACAGGCCTTAACGTGCTCGCTCTGCCAATCTTCCCGGACCTTCTCCAGCATGTTGATGTGCAGCATGTATGCTTTGTCTGCAATGGGCAGGGCTCGATTTAGAAACTACACAGGCTTGCTGGATTGTAGCTGTTGCTCTCTGATGCTCGTTAATCCTACATAATCTTAATGTAAACAGCCCCCCACGTACCCACCCACCCCCATGTATCAGAGCACCACACCCCTCACCTGAATCCTCTACTGCGCTCTTTGAAGTTGCCAGTTTCACAAAAAGCTATGAGGACCAAAACCAAAAAAAGAGATTAGGAAAGCTGATCCAGGCTTCCATGGGCAAACAGGTGTAAAAGTAATAGGGACAGAGAGGTAAGATCTGGTCCATTGTTCATCTTCACTCTTTCATCTTCTCAGCATCCTATGACTTCCTAGAGACACATCTCCCTGCCCCCAAGCCGTGGATAATACTGTGTTCAGATTATACATTATTACTTTATTTTGTTTTATATTTTATGTGTGTTTTGCTTGCATGTATTCCTGCATACTACTTTGTGCCTTGCACCTGCAGAGGCCAGAAGAGGCCATTGTACATCCTGGGATGGGAGTTAGAGATGGTTATGAGCTGCCTTGTAGGTTCTGGGAATCGAAGTCGGGTCCCCTGGAAGAGCAGTCAGTGCTCTCAACTGCTGAGCCGTTGCTCCGGCCATATTACTAAACGTATTACTTAATTAACTAATATTATTATTTCAGCCCATATTGTTAAACGTAGAACCCTCACCCACAAGACGCATTCCGTCAACAAAGAATACAGGAGCTGAGTTTCGAAGACATTTAAAAAGAACAATCAGGGGGTGGTGGGATGGCACACACTGTTAATCCCAGCACTTGCGAGCAGAGGCAGGCAGATCTATGTGAGTTTGAGGCCAGCCTGGTCTACAGAGCCAGTTCCAGGACAGGCTCCAAAGCTAACAGAGAAACCCTGCCTCAATAAATAAATAAATAAACCACCAAGCCTCTCATTCCACCTACTGCTCTGCAATGTGTCCTTCTCTGGCACTGCCCCCAACCTCAAAAATGTTACAAGGGCTTTTGTTTTCACTCTGAAGATTAGAAGCCACAGATGTTGTTGCCAGAGACCTGGGATACAAATCTCTTATTTATTGAGATGGGTTTCACTCCGTAGCCCAGTCTGGCATTAAGCTCGTGACCCTCCTGCCTCAACCTCCTGAGTGCTAGTGTGACAGGCATGTGCACCGTGTCCAACCCTGGTTGGCTTTAATGTAGCGCGGGTACTCCACTGACTCTTCCAGGTGTAGGCTGTGCTAGGTACCTTTTCTTGTTGCCTTGGGTTGGCCACGTTGGCACTGCGGTGGACAGCCTGCTCCGCCTCGTCCTTGTCCCGACACTTCTGCTCGTAATTCTTCTTGGCCTTTGTGTACAGACAGAGGATGAGTATGGGTGAGCAGGGTATATACAGTGTGAAAAGTGGTCCAGGCCCAGCACAAGCTCCAGAGCGCTGGAATCAAGATGCTAGACTCTCTTTTCACTGCTCCCCGAGAAGTCCGCCCTGGTCCCGGCCCTTTTCCAAACTGTTCACAGAGGGGCCCCCAGCCCAAGGAAGTAACAGCTGCCAACTGCTGGCACAAAGCACAGGAGAGCCAAAGACTAAGAAATGCAACTGGAAATGTATATAACTGATTTTTCCTTGTTCCTGAAATTTTCATACAATTATACACCGCCATATGACCGCATCATCCCCCCCCCCATGTATATAACATCTAAGATGTGTGATCCACCATCTGTGTAACATTTATAATCCTTAGAGTCTATTACAATCAGGTCATCACTGGACCCAACTCCCTCTCGTTCTCGACAGGCATCGATATTCTAGAGTCCCCAGCCACCGCCATGCACAGCAAGGCTACATCCCTTCCACTTCAGTATAGTCGTGTTTCTTTTTAAAGACTTCACTTCTACATAGTTTAAAGAAATCTGCACTGAAACCATCTGGCCCTGGGCTTTTTTGGGGGGAAGACTTTTGGTAACTGCTTCTACTTCATTAGGGGTTATAAGTCTATTTAAATTGCTTATCTGTTCTTGATTTTATTTTAGTAAGCAATACCTATCCAGAAAATTGTCCATTCCCTTTAAATTTTCCAATTTTGTGGAGTACAGGTTTTCAAAGCATGACCTGAAGATTCTCTGGATTTCCTCAGGGTCTGTTGTTATGTCTCCCTTTTCATTTCTGGTTTTGTTAACTTGGATATTTCCTCTCTGCCTTTTGGTTCGTTTGGATAAAGGTCTGTCTATCTTGTTGATTTTCTGGAAGAACCAACTCTTTGTTCCATTGATTCTTTGTATTGTTTTCTTTGTTTCTACTTTATTAATTTCAGCCCTCAATTTGATTATTTGCTGGCGTCAGTTTAAAGTAGCCAATAGCCTATCTTATGCCACTGTTACTACCAGGATTATGGAATCACTTCACAAACCCTAGCCATGGTTGAATCCAAAAAAAAAAATTAGTTTGTTCCAGGTCTAGAAACAAAGCCTTAGCTTGTTTAAACAACTCAAAACAAAGCTATGAATCAAACAATTAGCAAATAGGTCAATATGATAGTTGTACTTGACTAAGAATGAAGATGTCCTTTCATGGCTAGAGAGATGGCTCAACCACCAAAAGTTTAGCTCACAACCAAAAGTACTTTTTTCTTGGTTTACTTCTCTTCAGCTCCCTGTGAAACAGAGACCAAGGTCTGGAACCAGAGTGCAGAGGTTCAAATACAGCCTCACTATTATCTGTGTATTTATTCTGTTTTGCTCTGCCTTTGTTTCCCTATAAAGCAATGATTCTTATCTCCAAAGGTACATGACGACAAAATAAGGTACACACTGTACTTTTATAGCTTTTACATGCTGATGTGTGAAATTGAACCCACAGAACCAGTAAAATTCAATTGGAGATGATCTCCAAAGAACAGTGGTTCCTTTGGAGGGGTGGTTTGTGTTTATTATTATACACACTTCCCTGTATTTCTCATTAGCAAGTTTCCGTAATTCACCTGTGTTTATCTTTTTACAAGTTTTCTCTATGTGCTGTCTGTTATGTTATATGAGCTATATACTATACAATTACATAGCATGTAAAATTTTATGTATAGAAATAGTACGTTCCTGGTTTCCATAATTATATAAAAATGCATGGAAATCATGCTTTTACGCAACACCCTGGAGATCTCTCTCTCCCACGCATGGTCACTACCCCTCCACGCACCCCTGTGGTCCCTGAGAATGGAATCTGGGGTGTTGCACTCTAGACACTCTAGAGAAGCACTGTGCCAGTGGCTAGATCTCTGAGACGGGGTCTCACTTGTAGTTCAGGCTGGCTTTCAATTTGCTATGTAACCCAGGCTGGCCTCAAACTCAAGATCCTCCTGCCTCAGACATCTGAGTGTTGGGATTATCTATGTGTACCACCACACTGCTGTGGCATCTAAAACTCCAAAGCATCGTGTGTAAAACCAACATAAGATCCTGAAAGTGAAAGTTCATAAACACAAACTGGCTAGTTACCTCGGCCAAAGAGCAACCCAAAAGTGAGTTTCCTTGCTTCGTACATCACAGATTCAGTTCCAAGAAGCAGGAGGCCCAGAAATACAGTAACACGCTCAAAATAATTTTTTTTAACCTGCTCTCCGTAGCCAAAAGACTAGAAAAAAGGCTAACCTAACAAAGCATAAACTTAAACAACAATAATAACCAGTCCCCTGACACTAAACACATCATAAATAACCAGGGCTCAGACCAGCAAGATGGCTCAGTGAGTAAAGGCACTCACTGTGCAAGCCTGTTGAGTTGAGTTTGACCACCCTGGACCCATGTAAGAGTGGAAAGAGAAAACTGACTCCACAAAGATTCCCATGACCTCCACATGAGTGCCAGAAGACACACACACTCACACACACACACACACACACACACACAAACAATAACAATAACAACAATAAACAAACTAGGACTCACACATGATAGTAAAAGCCAACGAGAGAGTCTAGACTCCTATTACTGAAACACCCAGCTGCCCCAGATCATCACGACAGGGACCACAGTGTCTCTTCTTCAAGAAAGGAGCAGTGGATACCATGTGGGGACCCTAAACGTCTACCCCTCCTGGGCCCACACAAGGTACTGGACCTATAGGAGTCAAGTCCGTTCCCTCCTGTGGTGGCAGAGGAAATGCAGTGAAGAATAGAACATCTGCTGAGGACACAGGAGGAACCTGAACTCTTAACCCCAGATAGCAGGAATGAGGCAATTGCCTGGCCTCCTGCTGGTGTGCTATCTCAGGAAACCAGCTAAAACATGGTTTAAATAATCCAAATCTATTGAGTATCACCCAAACCAAGAACAAAAAAAAAAAAAAAACAAGGCGAATGGACAAAGACAATCGGCAAATGCCAGACAGATTTTAGGATTACTCAATCAAGACTGCAAAATAATTCACCAAACAACTACAGTCCAAAACAAACCACAGCAAAACAGCATGGCAAAGATACAGAAAAGCTACGCAAAGAAATAGAAGATAAAAGGAAGTCTCGGAATTGCAAAGTGGTTTGAAAACACAAAAGGCTCATGAAGAGTGGAAGAGACAGAGGACTAAATGAACAGTAAAGGGTAAGAGTCATGTCATGTGACCAGGAATGTGTCTGGTAGTCTATCACCACTGTGATCACAAGGCAGCTGGCGGGAGGAAGGATTTGCTTTAGTTCACCATGCATCATGGCAGGACGGTATGGTGAAGACCATGGCAACAGAACCCGGACTCCTCACAGCTCAGTGAATTGGGCCAGGAAGTAGAGAAAGGGAAATGCTGGCCTTTTCCTTTTCCCCCTTTTCATTCAGACTGGGGCCCAGGCCATAGGATGGTGTCAGCACATTCCAGGCGTCCCCCTGCCTTCTCTAATTAAGCCTCCCGGGGAAGACCCGCACAGAAAAGCTCCCAGGTGAGCTTCATGAATGCCCTTGGTATTTTTAATCCAGTCACATCAGCAATCAAAATTAACCACCACTGAATAAAAACGACTGCGAAAATCTAACAGAGCCTCGGGGATCTTTTATACAAAAAGAAGCAAGCCGATACCTCGTGAACCTGGACTCCTAAAAGAACACACAGGCTAAAGTCACACCTCAGGAAGTAGCTGAGGCAATCCCGATTTTGGCAAAAGATATAATCTACAGATTACAACTAACTGAACTCCAAACAGGAGCATCCTCAAGGCACCCAAGGCATGTGACAGAATCACCAAAAGCTAAAAACAAAGAAAGTATCTTAAAACAGTGTCCATAATGATATTTTTATCTCAAATTAAAAAAACAACTTGGATAACGGATTTCCCACCAGGGACAATGAGAACCAAAAGGAAGAAGAACAATGCACGTCAGATACTCAAAAAAAAAAGAACTGTCAAAATCCGATCTCACAGTCACTCATCAGCCAATCAGCAAATGAGCGGGCAAAGAAAATGTAGAAATGCATCACAGAGGATTGTCACTCCATCAGGAAGGATAAAACTGCAAACTGCGGCATTTGCAGAGAAATGGGTGGGACTGGGATTACACTAAGCAAAAAAAAAAAAAAAAAAAAAAAAAAAAAAAGCCAAACTCAGACAGGTTTCTCTCAGATGGAAGTCTCATGCACGTGTATTTCACCACCGTAAACAAAGTAGAGAAAAGGGAATCATGGAGAGATTTAGGGGTCTTACCACTAAGCCTGATACCCTGAGTTGGATCTCTGAGACCCACACAATGGAAGGAGAGAGCCAACTACCAAAACTGGTCCTCTGACTTACTTCTACAGGGGCGTGTCAAGGTGTGGGACACAGCTGCCTGCTGTGGGGAGCAGGTCACAAGACCCGCCTTTTGAGGACCCATGAGTGGTTGCCAGGGGGAGACATACATGTTCTTCCGTGCAGCCACTGAAAGGGTACCCACACCCCTGTGAAAACTCTCTCACCCATGCTCTTGCAAACAAGGCTAAGAAGTGTTTTCAATACAATCTTCACTGGCATACGTACTCTGAAGCTAAAAAGTTCTCTAAACCAAAGGAGTAAGTAGTGAGCTATCCACCCTGCTCGCCATAAAAAGGAAGTAGCGTGATCAGTGTGATGGCCAATCTCAATTGTCAATTTTATAAGTTCTAGGCATGCTTCGGACACAGGCCTCTGGGCATGCCACTTAGGGAGTATTACCTTCATCGGGATAAGTGAGGCAGAAAAAGCCACCCACTATGGCGCCACCATTCCCTGGGTGGGTCTGGGTTTGTACAAGGGGGAGGGTTCTCTGAGCACAAGCATCTGCTGTCCTTCCCCCTGACTGCACATGCTCTGTGACCAGCTGTTTCCGGCCCCTCGGCTTTGACCTCCCCACCACGACGGACATATAAACTGCCGCAAAATAAACCTTCTTTTCCTCAGGTCACCTTTGCCAGAGTGTTTTCTCCTAGAGACTAGAAACTACCACAGTGAGGGAGCGGAGATCAAATACAAACTTTCACTCAAATTTTCTTAATTATTTTGTTAGTGGAGGCAAAACAATTAACAATAATGTTTGCTTTGAAGCAGATCCTCATGCCTGGTCCCAAACACACCAGTGTTTAAACAGAACAGCTATAGGAAGCGATTAAACCAAGAGCGCTCCGCCCCCATCATTGGGTCAATCCATCGATGGGTTCATAATCTGATGGGCTACTGGAAGCTGGTAGAAGCTTAGGAGGTAGGACCTGCTCGAAGGCACTGGGTCCTCTCAGGTGTTCCGTCCCCAGCCCCGTCTTCGTGGTCTCCTGCTTCCCAGGCAGCTTTGTTCTAGCACTCACCTCACACAATGATAGTCACACACCCTTCGGGATCGAGCACAGCAGAAGAAAAGTCTGCCTGTGTCCTTGCTGAAGGTACGGCCTTGTGAGGCCCCTTGTCCTGCTTGTGACCATTTGATGCCCTGTGAACCTCCCTTTCCCGCAGGAGAGACTTACTGGGTCCAGGCTCGCTAGGGATGCTGGTAGCCACAGATATTCTGACTTGGAAGGTAATAGCCATGCCATGCCCAGAGGACAGAGTTCTATAGCCAGCTCACCAGAAACAAAGCGACGCCACGCCCACACTCTCCCAAGGCCTCAGCAGGAAGGAAAGCCAAGTGTTTCTCCTAATTTCTCCTAACCGCACACCAATGAATGGCATCGCTGAAACATCATATGAGTAGGAGCACGTTCACATGCAGCACGGTGCCCCCTGTAAATGTCACTGTTACAAACGCAGCAGCTACAGGCGTGACTCACATCCATGGCTTTCTTGAACTGTGAGCTCCTCTGTTTGTGGGCAGCATCCATTATAGTTTCTGTCTGTGAAGAGAATGCAAACACTGTCAGTAAAAACTGCAAGTCCCTGCTAACAGCGGCTTGTGTGGAGGGCTTATGCCTTCAACGTGGGTTATCCGGTTAGTCTTGGTGTCACCCAGAAGCCAAGGGTGCTACCTGCTGTCTACTCGTCACAAATGGGGACAGTGCAGAACAGAGACTAAACTGCTTGCTCAAGAATTCACAGGCCGTTAATGACACTGCATCTTAATTAGCCAGGGCACTCCCACGCCAGGTCCTGAACACTCAGAACACCACCAAAGACTGGCTGATGACCACGGAGTGCTTTCTTCAGGGAACCTAGAAGCAAGGACTTTTCAAGAAGGAGTTTTAAATTTTTGTTAAAATGCCATTTGTATTGTAAAAAGTGGCTTCCTTCTGAAAGCTACGTCAGCACAGGCAATTAGGAGCTCAATCTCCATGTCTATGGCCCATCAATGACATGCTTTACAACAAGTCACCAGGGGAAGAAGGAGGTGTCTGTAGCATGGCTAACAGAAACTGCTCTACGATCCTGTGCCTCATCTTAGCCAGCAAGGCAAACTCTGCGTAGTTCATCTAAGCACGGTTTCTCCATTGCGATTGTGATGGTGGTACTTTTGTCCATCAAAACAATGATGCTCATAATAAATATCTACCTCTCAGACGCTATTTTCTTTTTATTATTTTTTCTTATTTTACATATTGATCCCAGTTCTTTCTCCCTCTTTCCCTCCCTCTCTCCCTCCCTCCCATGCCCCTCAGCCTCCTTCCCATCCCATCCCCCCCCCAACTCCACAGGGAGGGTGATGCCTTCCAGGAGGGTTCATCAAAATCCTCAAGTTATTTGGAGTAGGGACTAGGCCCTTCCTCCTGTCTCTAAGTTAAGGGAGTATCCCTCCATGGGGGATGAGCTCCCAAAGTCCTTTTGTGCACCATGGATACATCCTGGTTCCACTGTCAGAGGTCCCTTAGACTGCCCAGGCCTTAACTGAGACCCATTTTCAGTGGATCTGGGTTGGTTCAATACTGGTTTCCCAGCTATCAGTCTGGGGGTCCATGAGCTTCCCCTTGTTCAGACAGAAGCAGACAACTACAGCTAAACACTGAGCCGAACTCCTGGAATCCAGGTGCAGAGAGGGAGGAGTGATGAGCAAAGGGGTCAAGACCAGGCTGGGGAAACCCACAGACACAGCTGACCTGCTGCTATTTTCATGGCTCCCATTTACCTATCAATTCTACATGAAGCAGTTCTGTGTAAGTACTATGTCGGCATTTTCTTGACGGCAATGAACTTTGTGAGCCCAAGGAAGCAAAGTCAGTGTGATGGTTTGGATGACGATGGCCCCCAGGGGCCCATGTCTTTGAATGCTTGGTCTGTAGTTGGTGGAACTGTTTGGGAAGGATGAGGAGGTGTGGCCTTGTTTAGAAGTCTCAGTAGATAAGGACATTTGCTGCCACGCCTGATAATACAATCCCCAAGAGCCACACAGTGGGAGAAGAGAACCAACTCTTGCAAGTTGTCCTCTGATGTTCACATATATACCATGGCATGTACACATATGCATGGACATGCTCATGCACTCACACACACACACACACATACACACACACACACACACAGGCACACACAGAGAAAATAAAAATGAAATTTAAATATAATGATGATTCACCAATTAAGAGCTCTTGTTGCTCCTGCAGAGGACCTGGGTTCAATTCCCAGCACCTACATGGTGACTCTTACCAGCTGCGTCCCTTATTCAGGGGCATCTCTGACACTTCCTTCTAACTTCCACAGGCACCACATACACACACACGGTATGCAGACAAAACACTCACACATGCAAGATAAAAACTTGTTTGTTTTGGGGGACAGGGTTTCACTATACAACCTTGGCTGTCCTGGATCTTACCCTGTAGATCAGGCTGGCCTTGAACTCACAGAGATCTGCCTGCCTCCGCCTCCCAAGTGCTAATCTAAAATTAAAACTAAATTTAAAGGTCGAAAACAGCCTATTTGAAAATTTACTAGGCTTTTAAAAATAAGTTACATGTGGAGACAGAGCTGAGTACTGTACTTGCACAGCACAACCAAGAACCTAGATTCAACCAGGAGCATGAGGGGAAGAGAAAGAGGAGAAAAGCAAGCAACTGACTGGCTCTCTTGATGAATGGAAACAGCTCGATTTCCTAGAAGTGGAAGATCAGAGCATGCATGCAGTGTGACAATCTTAAAAGGGGAAGTTAGCACTGACACACCCCCCATGTGTTCTTTAAAAAAAAAAAAAAAAAAAAAAAAAAAGGTACCCAAAGCCACCCCAGAGCCCCAGAGTCCATTGTGCAACACACAACAATTTTCAGAATAAACTTTTCAGTGTTTTGAAAGTGACTGCTGCTGAGAAGGGAACTTGAAGTGAGCATGTGATGCTCTTCAGTGCCTCTGACCCTACCCACTGGTTGTGTGCAACGTTAGCAGGGAAGTTCCAGAAGCCATGCAGAGCTAACAGTTCTCCCCACAAGGGCCAGGGCTGCTAAAGACACCTGAGGGTGTGAGGAAACCATCACACAGTCACATGCATAGCCCAGTTGACAAAGGTAGTATGCTTCTTTTATTTTTTTTTTTTTTTTTTTTTTAGCTATTCCACATGAGACACGCTCTCTCCTCCACGGTTTAGTTATTCTTTCCTTCCCTTCTTTTTGAGACGAGGCTACACTAAGTAACTCCCTGGAACGCACTGTGCCAACCAAACCTGGTCTTGAATTTGCCTGCCTCTGCCTCCAGAGTTAAAGAGTGTGCCACCACACTCGGCTTACATTTTTTAAAAACTGTATGTCTGTGTCTGTCTGTGTGTGCCCATGGAGGCTGGAAGGATGGCACACCCCTGGATCTGACTTCCAGGTGGTGGAACTCAGCCATCTAACACATCCCCTGCAAGGACAATACACACTCAGCTGCTGGGTCCTCCTTCCAACCTCCAAGTTCCTTTGCTGTCATTTCCACTAGGAGCGCTGGCACCCGCCTTCGATCCCCACACTCAGGAGGCAGAAGCAGGTGGCTCTCTGTAAATTCCAGGCCAGCCTGGTCTATGTAGTAAGTTCCAGAACAGCCAGGGCTATATAGAGAGACCATATCTCAAGAAGGGGTGGGGAAGGGAGAGGAGAGGAGAGGAGAGACAAAAACTGTCATTTGGGGGCTGGAGAGATGACTCCGCAGTTGAGAGGACCCAAATCTGGTTCCTAACACCCATGCCAGGTGGCTCCCAAACTCCTGTGACTCCAGTTCCAGGGGATCCGGTACTTCCATGGACACACACACACACACACACACACACACACACACACACACACACACACAAGGACACACACACACTAAACCATTTAAAAATAACCCTTTGTGGAGGGGGGACATGGGAGCGACCAGAGGCAGGTGGTTAAGAGAGGCTGGAGAGAGAAGGGGGAGATGCAATTTTATTTCAATTAAAAGTAACTAAGGAGCAGTTAAGAGCACCGGCTGCTCTTCCAGAGGACCAGGGTTCAATTCCCAGCACCCACCTGGCAGCCCACCACTGTCTATATCTCCAGTTCCAGGGGTTCTGACACACCCACACAGGCATACACGCAGGCAATGCACATTGAAAAAAATAAATTATTTTAAAAATAGATAAGTAAAAGATAACTTTTAAAGAACCTGGTGTCAGGCTCAGTGGTGTACACCTTTAATCCCAGCCCTTGGGAGGCAGAGACAGGAGGATCTCCATAAGTTAGAGACCAACCTAGCTAGAGCTATAGAGAGTTACAGGGTTAAATAGGAACACTCCCCCCCCCTCCAAAGACGTGGCAGATTGGCAATGTCAGGCAAAAGAACCCGACATCCAATGAGAACAGCACACACAATCGCTCTGCTTGGAAAAAACGCTTTGGGACAGAGGGTTGAGAGAGCATGAGAAAGTGTTTGGCACAGCGTTCCTTAACCACCTGCATCTGTACTTCCCTCACACTGTGAGACATTGTGTGAGCACCAGCTGAGAAATAGATAGGCAGGGATGTGCATAGAGCAGCTCTTAAGGCGGGCGCAGCAGCACGTGTCCACACCCTGCACATCAGCAGGTGGAAGCAGAAGACTGGGCTCCACTGTGAGCTGGAGGCCAGCCTGGGCTCCACGAGGCAGTGTCGTCTCAAACAAACAAAGGGAGAAAAAGCGGCTGGTGAGATGATGGCGGGTGTGAGACAGGGGCGTTCTTAAGATGCTGTGGGCAAACTGACACATTAGTGCCAACCCAGACTCCAACCTGAGAGGTTAGGACACAGTCAGCCTTCACACTGGCCATTGAGGCACAGGCTGTAGACATCAGGTAAATCAAAGGCTAGGATACAGGGGAGATTCCAAAGAGACCTCCAGGAAGAGTGGCAGGTCCCCAGATGTCCACAGAGACCTGAATAGAAATCTTTGGTGCCAGCCTTGCAGCCTTGAAAGACATTCTTGAAGGGCTCTTCTTGACTAAAGGGTCACATGCAGGGTTTTCAGGAGCAAAATAAAAAATAGACAGAACTGTGGCCGCTCTGGCCTAAAGAGCACTATACTAAAAACTGGACTTATTGCTTGATTCTTCTAAGTCCCCACGCATGTCTACTTTTATCCTAATGACTCTCATTTACTCCCATCGAGTTTCCTATAGGCGGAATAAACCCCGTCAATGAAAAGAGCCCGTGGGCGCTGGGGAGAAGCTGAGCAGTTAACAGCACTGGCTGCTCTCCCAGAAGCCCCTGCACCCTCGTGATGGCTCACAGCAGTCTGTAACTCCAGATCCAAGGGAGCTGTTACCCCCTTCCGGCTCCGGCTCCGTAGGCGCCAGGCACACATGTGGCGCACACACAAACATGCATACACATAAAATGAAGATGGATTATTCCATTACATTATGAAAAGGGAATTGGGGGTCTCCTCCAGGTTTTTATCCCTCCCCCACTGGCTTGCTTAGCAGGAGCGTGATCTGGAGGCTCACTGGCTAGGATGTGCCAGATGCCACTGATGGAGTAAAGAGATCTCCAGTCACACACCCCTCACAAGGGCAGCAGATCTAGAACCACCAAATCCCAGCTCCTGGGGTCTAAACGCAGCCTTGTGCTGCTAGTGGAAGCATTTTATTAACTGAGATTTTTCTCCAGCACTCCTGCCAAGTTTTCTTAAAAGAAAGACTGGCTGGGGTACAGGCATACGCTCCGATACTGAGTCTATGTGGAGACTCCAATATGTAATTTCTCAGGCCAGGAAGAGGTTATGATTATATTGGGGGTGGGAACCAAGTTGTGGGGAGAGTTTGTTGTTGTTTTGGGTGTTGTTGTTTGAGACAGGGTCACACAATGTAGCTCTGGCTGTCCAGAAACTCTCTCTATAGCCAGGCTGGCCTTGAACTCACAGCATCTGCCTGCCTCTGCCTCTGCCTCCCCAGCGCTGGGATTAAAAGTGTGCACCTCTCTGCCCAGAAAGTTGAGCAATTTAGTAATAGGCATGGCTGAGATTTTTCCACAGAAGAAAGGTGGCATTGTAACACACACACACACACACACACACACACACACACACAAAACTAACCTTTTTCCGCTGCAGCTTTTGCTTTTCCCTGAATTCTTCCATCTTCCTGGCCTCTTCTCTGAGAGTCTGTGCAAGCTGGATGTGACACTGGGCCACATTGTCTACCTCTGTAAAAAGAGTTTGTAAGTAAAACAAAGTCAAGACCCACATGTGTCTAAATTCAAATACAATGATTCAAAACTATACATACAAATTTGGAATAAGAAACAAAATTAAGAATAGCTCTCTTGGTCACCAACACTCATTGAGGTCTTTCTTGTGCCCAACCAAGACCAAAGTTAAGGATTTTTTGGTTTTGTTTTTTGTTTTTTGGAATTTTTTTGTTTTTTGTTTTTGAGATAGGGTTTCTCAGTGTAGCCCTGTCTGTCTTGGGCTCTGTAGACCAGACTGTCTATAAACTCAGAGATCCTCCAGTCTCTGCCTCACAAGTGCTGGGATTAAAGGTATTCACTACCACCACCCAGCTCAAAGTTAAGTCTTTATCTTAGCCTCTAGCCACTATTATTAACCCAGTTGTATGCCCATGACTGGAGCGGGGGCAGGGCAGGGGGCAGCCTAGATTACCAGTCAACAACCTTACATCCTGAGGTGAATGTTGCCTTTGATTGTCAACTTGGCACAACCTAGAATCACCTGGAAAGAGGTTTGCAATAAGGGTTGACCTGTGGCCGTGTCTGCAGGTGGTTGTCTTAAGTTAATTGATGTGGGAAGATCAACCTACTGTGGGTGGTACCATTCCTCAGTCAGGGAATCTTGAACTTTATAAAAGTGGAGAGATCCGCTGAGCACAGGCAAGCAAACCAGTAAACATACATGTAATAGTCATTACTCTCTGTCCTTGCCTGTGAATGTAATGACTTCCTTTCCGTGATAGGCTGTGACTGGAATTATAAACTGAATAATTCTCCCTAATTTCTGTTGTCAGAACATTTTATCATAGCAAGAAAAATAGAACTAGAGTGCTGCTAAGTGCACCACAATTTCAAATTTGCTTCTTGAGGCTGGAGAGATGGCTTACAGGTTAAAAATCATTAGCTGCTCTTGGAGAGGACCCTGGTTCAAATCCCACATAGCTGTCTGTAACTCCCATTCCAGGGGATCCAGCACCCCTCACACAGACATGAATGCAAGCAAAACACAAATGCACCTAAAAAATCAAAAGCAATCACCAAATTTGATTCTCTATCCCTTTTCATAATCTCTGGGTGCTTTTTATCTCTGGCCCCTCATGAGTTTAAACATTTATCAAAAGTTCCTGCAACATTTTGGCCTCTGGAGGTTATTTGTCTTTATAACAGAAAGGAAGGAAAGAAAAAAATAGAGTCACATTTTGCCCAAATTAGGAGGGGTGTGATTGGTGTACACCTTTAATCCCAACTCTTGGGATTGGTGCACACCTTTAATCCCAACACTTGGGAGGCAGAGGCCAAAGTGAGGCTGGGTTTATCCGCATTGTGAGATTCAGAACAGACAGGGCTACATAGAGAGACTGTTTCAAAAAAAGAAAAAAGAAAAAAAAGAAAGAAACAAAGAGAGAGAGAGAGAGAAAGAAAAGGAAAAGAAACATGCCATTAAAGCTAGAAAAACTAACCAAATAAAAACTTTAATTTTTAAAAAAATCTTGTGTGCGTGTGTGCACATGCATGCATGTGCATGTGTGCTTGCATGCATGTGTGGCGCATGCATGCGTGTGTGTGCACGCGCGCGCGTGCATGCATGTGTGTGTGTGTGTACATTCCCTTGTGTGAGTCAGAACACATGATGCATGTGTAGAAGTCAGAGGACACATTTGAGTGGTAGTTCTCGCCTTCGACCTTGTTTGAGACGAGGTTTTCTTTTGGTTTTGCCACTGTGTGAACCAAACTAGCTAGTCCATGAGTTTCTAAGAATTATGCTTTTGCCTGGGATTACAGACAGGTACTACCATGTCTGGTTTTATGTGTATTTCTGGGATATAAACTCAAGTCTTGATGCTTGCATAGTACCCTCTAAGCCATCCCTCCAGCTCATTAAGAAAACAATTTTAACTTTTATTGTTAAAATAACCTTGCTGGGGGCCTGGAGAGATGGCTCAGCAGTTAAAAAGCACTGGCTACTCTTCCAAATGACCCAAGTTCAATTCCCAGCACCCACATGGCTGCTCACAACTGTCTGTAACTCCAGTCCCAGGGGATCCGACACCCTCGTATAGACATACATGCACAAAATATGACAATGCACATAAAAAATAGTAATAACCTTGAAGGTTAGACAGAACACAGCAACTTCGGTAACAAAAAGCACTTTCACCAATGCTCAGCCGGAAAGGAGATGTCCATCTCCCATCCGTCTCCTCAAGAGTCAGAGATCTATGTGGAATCAAGGATGGACAGACTTAAGAGCCAGAGGTGGTAGATGACACAATAGGGCTGACGCACACAGATGTGACAATAAGCATAAGACCTGCATAAGCTCAAGCCAGACAGATCCCAGTTCAGAGGAAGGGAAGCTACTCCCTGCAGACAGCTGTTGGGAAGGGGAATCCGTTTCTGTCAATGGAATGACACTGGGTATCAAACACACTTCAGGCAGATCCCTGCTCAGGTACAGCTGCACAACACAAAGTTTTAATGTGTATTGACGTTTTGTCAGGAATCCCGGAACTGGAGTTGCAAACAGGTGTGAGCTGCCATGTGGGTGCTGGGAATTGAACCTGGGTCCTCTGGAAGCACAGTCAGTGCTCTTAAACACTGAGCTATCTCTCCAGCCCAAAGTGTGGCTTCTAAAGGGTTCTGGATGTAATTTAATTTATTTTATTATATTAAGTGTGGACAAGCTAAATCTGAACACTATCGATTACCTGGTACACATTAAGTAAGCCCTCCAAGAAGCTACACTCATCTAGTGCTGTTTTATGAATACCCTACACATCTAAAATGTATTTTCATCGTTTCGTTGGGCACAAGTGGCTCTATATACCTTTTTGCTCAAAATAAATGATTAGATTCCTTAAATGTCCCATATAAATAATTATTTTACTGTTCTAAATTACCAGTTTCTGAAAATAAAACTAGATCAAAATTTCAAACTTCAAAAAAGCACTTTCACAAAGAAGGAAAATGTGTATATATGCACACATATGCCATATTGAAAAATTACTCAATGTGAAATTCAAAAGAGTTAATAAAATGGCTAATACATACTTGTTAACTATATTTGGACTTAAAAATACAGAAGAAAGCAGAGCTTTAAACACAGTACATGCCATCGGTTTATTTTAACCTTTCAGTTTTATAAAAACCATAAAAGCAAAGAAACTCTAGGTTACTAGTGACCACTGAAAGAATGCCACTGTTGGTGAAGGAAAATCTGGTGTTGAGAAGACCTGGCATTTTGAAAGGTCAATTGTTTTGTTTGTTTGTTTTTGTTGTTGTTTTGGGTTTTGTTTTGTTTTGTTTACAAAAAGGAATGAGGCAGAAGTCTATGGACTAAAGCTATTAAATAAACATAAAATTCTAAAGAAATGTGATGGTGTAGTCTTATATAAAAAATACTCATACCTAAACTTGCATAGAGGATTAAAACAAAGGCTGGGGAGCTGATGGGTTGGTCCAGTGGTTAGGAGCACATACTGCTCTTGCAGAGGACCTGAGTTCAGTTCCCAGCATCCTCGCGGTGGCTCACACCACTGATACTCAAGCTCCAAGGGATCCAGCACCCACCCTCATCTGGTCTTTGTTGCACCAGGCACACACATGGTACACAGACATACATGCTGGCAAAACACCTATGCACATAGAATTTTTTTTAAAATTAAGATATATGACAAAGTGCTAACATGCCTTTTTAAAATTAAAGCGTGTGCTCTGAAAAACCAATAAAACAAATAATTAAAATGTGTGCTCCGGCCCCAACCCAGAGAGACTCTGAACAACTCCCGTGACAAATCACTGTCTATGTACATGAATAAGCATGGTCATGTACATATCTATTATAAACATGTATCTAAACGCATCTAAAAATAAAGTACATTTAAAGCTGGAAAAATAATCACCAAGAACTATCATATTCAATTTAATATTTAATATTCTTAATAAGAAAAATAAAACTGGTGAGGGCTTTTTGTTTTGCTTCATTACTTGTCTGTTTCTTTAGTACCGTCTCTTGCTGTGTACCCCAGGCTACCCTAGAACTCATGACTCTCCTGTCTCTGGCTCCTGAGGGAGTGGAAAACAAATGAGTAATCAAGTAAATTCCTTAGGCAAGTCAAGCTATGCTGAAGCCTTTGCTCTTGGACACTTGGCTCCACGGTGTATGTATGAAAACGGCTCATGGAAAGACGCTGCATCTAATTGAGAAGCAGATCCATTGCTGAATTAAAGGAAAAAGGAGACACTGTTGTCTATGGAGAAGCTGGGAGAAGTATCTATTCACCTGCCTTTGACCTATGGTGTATAGTACATATGTATTTTTTATTTCATCTCACTGCTTTTGTGACCCCTGCCCAAGGAATATTGTGAAAACTAATCAACCTATGCCTTTAGTGGGCCATAAAAAAAAAATCTTTATCTTGTCTGGCAGTAGGCCAAAGGACCCAATTCCCTCTGGAGGGGCCACGCCCTGTAGGTAGACATGATGCTCCAGAGGCCAGGGAGGCATTGAAGAGCCCGACCGACTCTCCCACTCAGTCAGTTAACAATCGTGCCTGTCCAATGAAGTCTCCATAAAAATCCAAACAAGACATGGCTTTGGGAGCTTCCTACTAGTCAAGCTTGTGGCGATTATGGGTGGGGGGGGAGGGTGTTGCTCATAGCAACACAATGGCGCTGAAGCCTGCTGAGCCCATTCCTGCAAGGTGTGCTCCAAGAGGCCATGAAAGCGCCTCACGTCCTGCCTCCTCCCCCACTGCCTTTGCAATATCCTTTATTATAAACTAGCATGTGGAGTCCTTCCCCTGGGCTCTGGGAGCCACTGGGGTAGATGAACTGAACCAAACAGAGGTTGTGGGAACCTGGTCTCCACCTGTGGTGGACACGGCTCAAACAGGTAGGAGCCTTGGGACAGGTATCCAGAGTGGGAACTGAGCCTTCAGACTACAGGCTCTGGTCCCCTCAGGGTGACAGTGTGACAACTGAACAGGGCCAGAAGACACAGGCTAGTTTACACCGCAGGAGAGACTGCTTAGTTGCTATGGGGGGAAATCGTCTCATGTGATGGGGTCAGAAGTCTCCTGTGTGATGACAGAGTCACACTGCAGCATGACAGCAGAGGACCTTATAGCAGGGGTTCTGATGGAGAACACTCCACTAGCTACAGAAACACTGCAAGCATCAGTCACACACACCGTGCCCTTTGACACCCTTCACCTGGAAACCCCCGAGGAGGAAGGACAGAAAGCCCTGGGGCGCACTGAGCTGGGCAGGAGTCCCTGAAGAGCAATGTAACACGTGTCACCCCAGACCTCCCGGATGTCACCACACTACTGTAACTAGTAAAAAATCTGCTGGTATAATTCCAAGTCAGATTCACAACCAAACAAGGACAACACCGATGTTGGCCGAAATGGACAAGAGAGTCCCCGGAGCCTGGCACACTCTGAACCAGGGAAAGATTGCTGCCACCCACTGAGAGGGCAGGGTCTCCGGGAGTGGTAGTGGCTGGGGCCACACGCCACATTACAACAGGAGGAAAGAGTCTGTTCTTTGAAGACTGTCATAATGTAAAATGTCTTGTAGAGCTGGGGCCACGGGGTAAAACCACTGGCTGAGCAAGTCTGACGACTTAAGTTAGATTCCCGGAACCATGAAACAAGCCGGATGTGTGCCACACATCTGAGATCTACTACTCCCCGAGAGATGGGAGGCACTGATTAGAGAAATCCCCAGAAGCTTGCCTGTCAGCGAGCCTGGCGTACGCTGTGTAGTAAAAACAAGAGAGATCCTGCGTCAACAAGGCGACAGGTTAAGAGCCCCCAAAGTTGTGCTCTGACCTCTACACCCATAGACCCTTGCACGCATGAATACACACGCTAAGAAAATGAAGCCTTCTTCTGCATAAAAATGATCCAAATGTCTGGAAATCTGGGAGAAATGGCGAGGCAGTTACAACGCTGTCCCAGCAACTGAAGTCCTGCAAGAAGTGTCTCTGGGGAGAGAAAATTCTCCCAAGAAGAGCACATAAGAGGTTGGGTGAGTCTGAATCAGGCGGGCGGCAGATAAGCACTCACGTACCGATAGCTCGAAAAACAAAGCAGAATGGAGTGTCCTTGCCTGGTGGTGTTCCCATCTGGAACTTAAGAGCACACAGAATCCCAGGCCCTACTCCAATTTCCCTGAGTCAGAAACTCAGACGGGCCATGAATCTGTGGTAACCACAGCTATCCAAGTGACAGGGAGATGTGAAGGGGCTTCGCTCATTTCTCCTCCACAGAGCTAGTTCTCACCTCACGGTTGTGCTAAATCTTTTTACCTGGTGCTAAACCACTGTTCAAATTAGAACTCACTTCAGAAGAAAGACACAGAGCTTACTTACCAAGGACAGAAAACGCAGTTTTGCACTAGGGGTTTGAGTGATGGTTGAGCATAAGAGTACTGGCTACTCTTCCGGAGGACCCATGATCAATTCCCACCACCCACATGGTATTGAGAGCCACAGTAGCTCCAGATCCAGGGGATCCGATGCCCTCTTCTGGCCTCTGTGGGTACCAGGCACACACATGGTACAGACAAACACGCAGGCAAAACACTCATACAAATAAAATTAAATGTTAAATAGTTCACTTACGCTGCTTGAAGACGTCAAGGGCTCTCTTCAAGGTACTGAAAAACAAGCACATACGCAATTTCAGTTCTGGAAATCATCCATATGGTTTTATTACAATGTTTTCATATGCTTCTCCTTGCCTGCCTGTTAACATGGGGGCTCCAGAATCACTTTCGTCCTTGAGCTTCAGAAAACAGTAAAAGACAGAAACCTCTTAAGATGAACCTACTCAATCCCAGGCGTAAGCAGTTCTACACCTGTCTGTCTGCCCTGAGTCGAGCAAAATGTAAAAACTCTGCGTTTCATCTTCCCGGTGATAATATAGGAATCTGGTCCCTTTCTCGTAAGAACACGTTGTCATTTGAATATGAAAACAGGACAACTAAAGAGAGAGCTCTATTCCTAGTTTGCACTTTGGGTGAGCGTCTGTGGGGTGTGTGTGTGTGTGTGTGTGTGTGTGCGCACACACACACACACACACACACACACACATACATGTTGAGACTGCATCTCACATAGCCAGGCTTGTGATACAGCTGAAGCCAGCCCTAAACTTCTAACCCTCCTGCTTCCTCTTCCCAAGTGCTAGGATTCCAGGCATCATCATTGCCGTGCCCCAGCTCAAACCCTGGCTTTTAACTGACTCCTTTCTTAGAAAACCATCATAATTTTTCCCTGACATTGAGTGTAACTCTGTAGCCCTGGCTGTCCTGGAACTCACTCTGTAAATCAGACTGACCTGGAACTCACAGAGATCCATCTGCCTCTGCTTCCTGGGTGCTGAGATTAAAGGCGTGCCCCACTACATCCAGCATATACTTACTGATCAGAAACTATTGATCAAGCTTATTCCTTTTTAAAATTTTATCTTTTAATTGAAAAATAAAATTGTACATCTTTACCAGGTGCAACATGATATTTCGAAATCTACATGCATTGTGGAATGACTTAATAAAGTAATTAACATACCCATTGCCTTATATCCTTACCACTGTTTTGGGGTGGAATACTTAGAATCTATCTCCAGTTCTTTTTTAAGAATAGTGCATTGTGCTGGGCGGTATGGCACACTGGCATGTGTGTGTAAAGGCCCAAGGTTGAAGTTGGTGTTGGGAATTATAACTCTTCTTCTACTTAATTCTCTGAGGCAGGGTCTCTCAGTCAAACCCAGAGCTCACCGACACGGCTAGTCTTGCTATCCAGTTAACTCTGGGGATGCTGCCTCCACCTTCTAAGTCTGGAATTACAAGCAGGTTTCCATGCCCATCCAGTGTTTACATAGGTTCTGAAGAACTGAACAATGGTCTTCATGCTTGTGAAACTCATGGTTCAACCATGGAGTCATCTCCCCTAGCCTTGAAAGGTCATAGTATATTTTAACCCACATCTCCCTAACCTTGGCCACAGTTCCTGAAGGTTTTATTCAAGTCTGATTCTTTTTCAGAATTTCTAGGACATTTCTAAAACTCTCCTCACTTAAGCTTTTAATTCACTCTTCCATAAACATACTGCGTATGTTTATGGGTTTTTAGATCTGTTCATACAGCACTAAAAAAAAAAATCTATGTGTATCTGTGTTGTTGAATTGTGTTCACAATAACTTTCGTGTATGTGGGTATGTATGTGTTTGTGCCTGTGTGTGTGTGAGAGAGAGACTGTGTATGTTCCTGTGTGTATATGTGACTGTGTATGTTCCTGTGTGTGTGTATGTGACTGTGTATGTTCCTGTGTGTGTGTGTGTATGTGCCTGTGTATGTTCCTGTGTGTGTGTGACTGTGTATGTTCCTGTGTGTGTGTGTGTGTTTGTGTGCGACTGTCCATGCATGTTTACATGTGCACACGGAGAGACACACATGGATGGATCCACCTAGGAAGGGGAAAAGACAAGATTTCCTGAGTAAATTGGGAGCATGGGGCAGAGGGCATGGGGCAGAGGGTGGAGGGGAGAGAGGAGGGGGTAAGGAGGGCAGAGAAAAATGGTTAGCTTAATTTTAAAAAAAAGACAGAGAGAGATGATTTAAAAAAATAAAGTAAGTCAAACCTTTAAAAAAGATCTTTGAAAAGACACAGACTTTTCCCAATTGTCAACAAGGAGGAAAAAATATTCTTTCCGTCTTTCATACTGTAACTGCCACTCGATTGTACTTGCAAAACATCGGGGCACTGGGCCATGGCAGGCAGCCTAGGAGTCGGAAGAACACTGGTACCTACTTGATCTCAGACTGTCCACATGGCTTCTTCCTGGAGAGACTCAGCAGGTCTTTGCCATACTTCTCTTCAATTGATGCCCTGGAGGGAACAGAAGAGGTCATAGGTCCTGCACACAGTTCTCAGCTAAGACACTGCTCCTGCATGAAAGGTGTCATCTATTGCAGAAGTTCAGATGCAATGTCACTGTCTAAGACATAAGACTCAGTGATTTTTTAAAAAAGAACTAAAAATAAATAAATAAAATAAAACTCAAAGCCAGGCATTTCTAACCCCAGAAGAAGGTAAAGACAAGAAGACCGGTAGTCAGCGTCAGCCTTAGCCACACAGGGAGTTTGAGGCCAGTCAAGGGTTATTAGACCTTGTTTCAAACAACAAAGGAGGGGGCTGGAGAGAAGGCTCATGGTTAAAGAGCACTTGTTGCTCTCCCAGAGGACCTAGGGTTAGTTCGTAGCACACATAGCCGGCAGGTCACAACCACCTGGAACCCAGAGGATCAGACATTCGCTTCTGGCCTCCTTGGCACCCATACACACATGGCACCTGGACACATACACATAAATAAAAATAAGTCTTAAAATACACACACACACCACAAATAAACAAAGTGAAAAAAGGGTGAAAAACAACTCAGAAGACATAGACAGCAATCTCTAATCTGCACAACACACATACACACATGGATATGCAGCTACACATATGTGCACGCACACACATGAACATGTATAGGCAAACATAACACAAACATACACAAGATAGTTGTATCACTTGATGGTGATTGACATGGATATTTTTTAAATTTTTTTGTTTGTTAATATACATGTCTGTAGTGTGTGTGTGCATACGTGAGCATGACTCACATCTGCACATATGAAAAGACCAGAACCCCAACCCTAACCCTAACCCACCCTTGAGACAGGATCTCTAACTAAGCTTGGAGCTCACATCTGCTGATTATCTGCTTTAAAAAATGTAATTTTTAATATGGGCACAGTAGCTATGAACCTTTCTCTCAGAATTGCTTTCATTGTATCCTAAAAGTTTTGATATGATGTGTTCCTTTTCATTCAATGCAGGATTTTTTCATTTCCTCTTTGACTTCTTCAGTGATCTATCATGTAATAGTGTGTTATTTAATCTCCACGAGTTTGTGTATATTGCATAATTTCTCTTGCTGTTGGTTTACAGTTTTATTCCACTGTGGTCAAAATACGAAGAATGAGGTGCACATTTGCTAAGACTCCCCATGTGTCCTACCCTAAGTTCTCTTTGAGGGAAAGACTTCTGAGGAAAATTCTGCATGCCTGAATGAAATGTTCCGTGAAGGTTCCCCTTGGCCTATGACATTGTTTAATGTAGATACATATTTTTCCCTTGGGACGGCCTATCTATTGTGGAAGCATAATACTGAAGGACCCCAGTGCTGTTGTGTTGGGGTTGACTTGTAGCTTCACATCTAATAGTCAATTGTTTTTATAAAAATGGAGCACACTCATAGTTGGTGCATCCATGTTTGGAATTACAGTGTCCCCTTGATGGGCTGTTCCATTTTAACCGCATAAAGTAACATTCCTTACCTCTCCTGACTAGGTCGGAGTGAATTTTGTCAGATATCAAAACAACAACATTTGCTTGTTTACTAGGTCCATTTGCTTGGAATTTTTTTTTTCCTCCTTTTACCGTGAGGTAGCATCTGCCTTTGATGCTGAGGTGTGTTTCTTAGATGTAACAAATACGTGGGACCTGTTTTTTTTTTTTTTTTTTTTTTATACTATATGTTAGTCTGTGTTTTTTAATAGAGACGAGACCATTAACATTCAAGACTATTATCAAAACACTTGTATTAACGCCTGGTACTTTGTTGGTTCTGTGGTGATTGCTGTTCCCCCCCCCCATTCCTGTTTGATCCTTCCCTGTTTCAGGGTAGCTTATCCTTTCTTGCAGCCTCAGAGACGTGTTTCTCTTCCTTCTCGGTCTGAAGGATTCCTTCAAGTACCTTCTGCAGAGCTTGGCTAGTGGTCATAAATTTCTTAATCTCTTTTTAGTCACAGAAAGTGTTTCAGTTTCCTTCAGTTAGGTACATTAATGTCCCCATTAAAGTTTATGGTGAGAAATCTCTTGTGTGAGCCTGGTTTTATATGCAAGCTACTGTTTCTCTCATGCAGATTTCGATATACGTTCTTTGTTCTGTCTATTTACTGTTTCAACTACAATTTGATGTGAGGAGATTTTTTTTTCTACTCTTTGATGTTTTAACTGCCATGTGTACCAAAGCAGGGTACCCTAGATTTGAGGAATTTCCTGCTATGACTTTATTGGCAAAGTTTTCTATGCTTTTAGTATGAGCTTCTCTTTCTTCTATGCCCATAATTTATAAATTTAGTCTTTTCAGAGTGTCCCTTAGATTTCAAATGTTCTCTTTATCTCTTCTTGTGGATTTATACTTTTTACTGAATGACGAAATTTCTCTACCTTGTCCTGAAACACTGATATTCTGTCCACTGGTGAGCCTTCCCATAGCGCTCTTTATTTGACTTATTGACCTTTCAGTTTCAATATTCCACTTGGATTTCTCCAGTATCTCTGTCTCTGCTGACTTCTGTTTTCGTATCCTATACAGATCATGCTATTCTATTCAGTTATTTGTGTTCTCTTGGAATTCATTCCAGAGTTTTTGGGCTCTTTGATCCATTTGAGCATACTTACAATCATCCTTTTGAATTTGTTGTCTGATTTTGTCTAATCCACTCTCCCTGGAGGCCTTTACTATGGTGTTACCAACTCTAGAGAAGCCTGGGTACTCCATGTTTCTTGTGCTTTTGCACTGGGACCTGCGCATCTGTGTTTGGGTCCCTGGTTCTTTCAGGGGAAGAGTGTTTAACATTCAACAAGGACAAGGTTTCAGCAGAGCTGAATCGTCATTATCCCTGCTGTCTAGGACACCAGGCTCAGTGCCCTGACATTAGAATACTGTCTTCAAAAGGATCACTATCAAAGGGTATGTCTACTATGAAAACCCAGTAATAGTCAAATTAAAAAATAAACACTTCTTAAATGTCAATTTTAGGAAATAAAGGAACACTGATCATAGTACTGTGTAGAGTGATGTGTTAACTACTGTGTAAAGTGGGCACACACACCAAAAAACAGAGTAAGACTAATGGTTAGTATTGGATTGATGTGGGGGAGAAGGAGGGGGAAATGTGAATAAAAGAGGAAATAGCAGGAGAGATGAGTCAGTTTTGGCCAAAAGTAAAATGAAAAAAAAAAAAAAACTCAGTAAATTTATACACTCGGATAATCCACAACTATCCAGACCTACAAACCAGGAAACGCCTGTGCTCTTTGAAAAGGGGAAGGAAAAAAGGAAAAGACAGAGGTTGGGGACAAAAGCAAAGGAGCCCACAGCTGGCCCGCTGGTGTTAAACTCTGGTGTTAAACAAGGAAGGCCAGAGGAGGGGAAGGGGGCGATGTGCAGGACGCAGTCTGATGCCGTTCAGCCTGCTGGCTCGTCTAACTGTCCCTTTCTGTGGCTCACAGAGCACTGTTACACCCCTAGACATCCCTTTGTGAGGCTGGGTCATAGATGCTGGTCACACCTATCTATGCACAACCCTTGAGGAGTCCAGCTGTCAGTGCTGGCCCTTCCCTGGTCCAGTTTGCTTCCCGGAACCTGGGTCTATCTACAGTCCCCAGCAGACTTCCATCTCACCGAAGACTGCATCGCTCTGACCAAAGCTTCTTCCTGCCGTCTAGAAGCATCCTGGCCGGGTTTCGGCATGTGCACCTTACAATGCTCGTTACTGGACGTTCAAGGGCAGATCTTCTGAGCCTCTCTGTGTTGAGCCGCGGCTCTTACCTGCTCTTCCCTCTCACTGGAAGTTGAACAGCTCCTCAGACCGAATCAATCCCTCCAGGGCCTTTTCTCCTTCTTTACTATTAAAACTAGCAATGACTAAACATCAGCACTTCAAACGTGGTCATCCAGCTTTCCCAAGTGTTGCGCGTGCAGAACCTAGCAGAGTCCTCCTGCATGCTCGCTCCTGCTCCTGAAGGGCTCTGGAGAACCCCATGGCTTCCAGAAGGAGGCGCCCTAGCAGTAAGGCCACAGTGGGCAGCGTCCCACCCCCCCCCCCCAGCGTGCCCAGTGGTCTGCTCTCTGAAGAAAAGGGGGAGCTTTACTGAACTGAAACTTGAGAGTCACACTCTGAAACCAGGGGAGCCACTCTTGACATACAGAGCCCAAAGCATAGGGGAAGCGCTGGGCTCTGAGACCACAGCCACGGAAGGAACCAGAGGGAGTTTGTAGAAACCCCCTTACCTAGATCACTACCCACCAACCACCTCATCGGTCCCATTCATCAGTTTGTCTTCTTGTTGTTGTTTTCGAGACAGGGTTTCTCTGTATTGTTTTGGAACCTGTCCTGGAACTCGTTCTGTAGACCAGGCTGGCCTGGAACGCACAGAGATCCACCTGCCTCGAAAAATTGCGCCACCAATTTGTCTTTTTTTAAAGATTCATTTCTTAATGTATATGTACGAGTTCTTTGCCTGCATTTATGTGTGTGTACTGTGTGTGTGCACACATAGGCCTAAAAAGGTCATGAGGGCCTCTGGAGCTGGAGTTGTGGATGTTTGTGGGCTGCCGTGTGGATGCTGGGAATGGAACCTTGGCCCTCTGCAAGAGCTACAATGCTCTTAGCCTCTGATCCACCCATCCAGTCCCTAAGTTGTCATTTCTAGAGCATCTGTTTTGTGCCAGGCATCCTCCTGGAGCTAGGAACACCACTGAAACAGAAGAGCCGCCCAGCGTGCTCCTTGCTCAAGAGATTTTACAGAACAAGAGTACAATGGCTTCCTTTCACTGATGAGGAAACAGAGATCTGGAAAGATACCTGCCATTGATTCGACGCATGTCCCTGACAATGACTAAGGAAGCAGGATCAGAAGAGGAAGTGATCAGATTCTTCTCCTGGGGTCCTCTCCTTTGTAGGCCTCAGCTTCCTGCCTGTTCCATGCATATCATGACCTATCTCCCTCTAAAAAATAGCCAAGGCGAAGTCTAGTGCCCATGGTCTCAGACTGTACTCTTCTCTGGAATAGGATCACTCACTACAGAGGTATTAGCTGAGACGGGAGCACCCTTGAGCAGGTTGGTGCCTAATCTAACATCGCAGGAGCCCTCGCGAGATGGAGATGTGAAGACACAAGCCTGTAGTGAGGAAGGGGACAGGGGACTGTGGGGCTGAAACACATCCTGGACTCCCAGTGACACAACCACATTCTCCCTAGAACCTCCAAGACGGCAAGGTCCTGCCCCCACATCTCCCATAGTGCCTCATCTTCTGGTGTCTGAATGAGGTCCTGCCTGCCTCTTTCCACCTAGGGCTGCCTACTGTCACCTCCAAGACTGCCTGTCTCCCAAGGCTGTCAGAGCCACCTTTCCCGCCAGAGCCCTGCAAGGAACCCTCTTCCATGAAGCTACCCCAGAATTTCATTGTTTCACTTGTTTGTTTATTGTATTTGCCAATTCCTAATTTTTTTTTCTTTCAAGACGGGTCTCAACTAGACAGCTCTTGGCTGTCCATAAAAAAAAAAAAATCACTATGCAGATCAGGCTGGCCTTGAACTCTCAGAGATCTGCCTGCGTCTACCTCCTGAATGCTAGGATGAAAGACATACGCTACCACCACCTGGACAGTTTGTCAATTCTTCCTTTGGTGGGGGCACATGTTGAAGGCAGGGTTTCACTGTGTAGCCTTGGCTGTCCTGGACCTCCCTCTGTAGACCAGGCTGGTCTTGAACTCACAGACATCCTCCTGCCTCTGCCTCCCGAGTGCTGGGATTAAAGGCGTGCGCCACCACTGCCTGGTTTATTTTGTGATTCTTAATCTGCCGCTTCAGTACCACTGATACATGCCACGCTTCTTAACGTGTCCGTGTGCTTGCTGCATTCTATGTGCTCTTACACTTATCACCTTATTTTCAAACTGGTTCCTAGGGATTTTAGAACAGGCATTGCTGTAGGAGCGATGTGGATGTCAGAAGTATAAACGTTTACTAACAGATTTGCTTAGGAGACATTAACTCATCCAAAGTAGAATTTAGCTAAGAGGTATTGCCTCCACAATACACCAAAGCCAAGAAGTGTGCTACCCAAAATCTGTTTGAGATCAGTGAAATTTAGGACGTTAGGATGTTAATGATTGTTTACAGAGGTAGATTCCCTCAATTAGGCTCCCTTCTCATAACAAAAGGAGGAAACTCTGAATTACAAACGGCCACCAGGCTCATCTCCATATCAAAGCGCATGGCTAGGGGCAGCAATGAGGACAGCCCTCATTAGGTCCTAACCCTGTCCTAAGGTCCCCTGTGCTGTTATCCAAAAACCCGTAATTCTTCCAATAGACAAGATGACCCTAGGCAAAAGCTGTTGGAGAAGTTCAACACTGACATACTTAAATAAGTCTGGCAATATCTTTGCTGTGTAAATCTCCCATCTACCCAAGCGGCCAGACTTGCAGTCTCATGACTCCTTTTAAACCGTTCAAAGTGTGACCTGGACCTGAACCTAAACTTAAGGATGATAGTGTGTGTGCACAAGCCTAAGGTGTGTGTAAGTCACTAAAACCATCTATTTACGGCAAGCTCCTCTGTGGGCGCATAGCTATGCTTAAATAAATAAATGAATAAAACCTTTTTTTCCCTCTTTATTAATCTGTAAATGTGCAGAGTGATTTCTCACTGAGAAGGCATATTAAAATTAGTTCTAGAATTATACCAGTCACTTCTTGGGATCATTTCATGCCCTGTAGTAGAGGGTCTTCAGAACGGGTAAACACAATCAAAAACAACTAATGTAGAGTGCATGAGATGGCTCAACGGTGATGTACAAGACCGACAATCAGAGTTCAATCCCCAGAACCCATATAAATAGGGAAGGGGAGAGGGCCAGCAGCACAAAGCTGTCCTCCGACTCACAGACACACACACACACACACACACACACACACACACACACACAGTAGCACTCACATGCCCGGTCCTAACAAGAAACACTTCCTGAAAAAGAAAGACAAGAGAAATGATTCCCGGTCGGAGGTGGGGGTGGGGCATGTTGAGGGCCTGGGCATCTTACCTTTCCTTTAAAAACTCTTCAAATTCCTTGCAGTTCTTGCGGCCGTTGTTCAAATGCTGGATGATACAGTCGTAGCCAACCGTGCTGAGAATGTCCGTGCTCTGAAGGAATGAACAAACGGTGGCGTCAAACCAGGAATAAGCTTGAAGAGGGAACGGGGAAGGGGGAGGGGGGCGCAGAAGGGGCAGGAAACCCGCAACGGGACTCCACTGAGTCACTTTCACCAAGACACGTGACCCAAGAGAGTACAGGCAAGAAGCAAAAGTGAACAGCTGGGCAGAAGAACTGAAAGGATGAAACCCAAGAGGGACAAGACCTGAATCGAGACTTAAGGATGAGTGGTGAGGAAGAAGACTCAAGCCCCTCTCTGGGCCTTCACTCACACCTAAGTCAGGACAAGAGAGACGCTCGAGGTTCCTACTCCAGCCCCTTGCTGCGTGCACCTTCACACTGCCTCGGACTACCGGGCAGTAGTTACGGCACACAAAGGTGGATCTCTGTGAGTTCGAGGCCAGCCTGGGCTACAGAGTGAGTTCCAGCACGGCCAGGACTGTTACACAGTGTGTGGTCCTTTGAATGCAATTGGCCACAGTAAGTGGCTCCATTGGGAAGTGTGACTTTGTTAGAATAGGTATGGCCTCCTTAGAGAAGTGTGCCACTGTGGGGGTGGGCTTTGAGGTTTCCTATGCTCAAGATACTGCCCAGTGTCTGAGTCTACTTCCTGATTAACTGTTAAACACATTAGTATATACAATCTGCAGGTCTGGCAATTACCCAACAAGAGCATGACATCACAGGGAAAATCTGTGGTGTGCCAACATCCTCTTCCTGGTCCATGGAATTCCCTGGATGATCTACCAAATTCAGTTCCTACTCCTGTTCCCTAAGTGTGAGGAAGCAGGTGAGCACAGAGGAGCAGCTCCTCTCCAAACTAGACTAAAGTACCCATATGTGGGACCAAGGAAGAGAGAGACAGAGACAGAGAGACAGAGAGAGAGGGACTGACTGCCTTGAGCAACAGGCCCATTTTAATCAGGGGTTGGACAACATTCAGTTTGCCCTTAAACCTGCCACCAAAGACCCTGACATCTCCCACAGCCAGTTTGTCCTCTTGGAGGACTGAGGAAAGGCCACGAAAGACAAACAGTTCTGAACCACAGGGCATGGGTGAGAAGGTAAGCCACAGAGTGGAAGAAAGCGGCCATTGGCCTGGCGGAATCATGAATGGGAGTCTGGGCCAGCATTGCTGCACAGAGTTCCTGGCCCTAGTTTGGGGGAAAGAATATTCCATTTTTAATTAGCAACTTCATTACTCCCTCTTCAATACAGTATTTACATATCATTTGTGAAAATCCAAGCCAGTCTCAACTCTCAGACTTTGCGGGACTCCTTTCTGAGTAGCACAGTCCTCTCTTCTGGATGTACTCCTCACACAGATTTCTGTCCCAACTCTATTGAGCATGCCTAGAATTCTGTTCAACACTACTGCCACCCCTGCACCCCTCACAGAAAAATCTCCCTTAATGTTATGTAGCTCACAGGCCTACAGCAGAGATGGGCAGGGTGAGGTGTCCCCCACAACCCCATCCAAATACGAAAGAAGAGAACTATGAAACAAAGCCCCCAATAAAAGGGCTCATTGTCTAAGTCAGGGTAGACACAAGCCTCCATTCCTACCCATCAAGCATGCTAGACTTCTCTGCACCGTGACATCTGGGAGGTGGTTTCACTTTCCTTAACTAAGGGTACAGCTAGTTTAGGTCTGGTGGAGCAAGGAACCCAGAAGAGAGTCCCCTGGAAACACAGACCTCCCAGCAGCCAGGCTTAAAACAAAACAGAACAGCTGCCCAGTCAGTGAAGAAAGGAAAGCAAATGAGAAGCAACTGAGAAAAGAGACTCCCAGAAAAAGCCAAGCACCCGGCACCCGTCACCCGGCACCCGTCACCCGGCACCCGGCACCCGGCACCCGGCACCCGGCACCCGGCACCCGGCACCCGGCACCCGGCACCCGGCACCCGGCACCCGGGCCGGAGCTGCGGGAGAGTGACCTATGCTAGGCAGAGCACGGGTACTAAATGAACACCAGGGATAACAGTGAAAGGGGAGCAAAACAGAAAAGCACATGCGTGAGACACAGCACCAAGGGAGAGAACCCGGGGGGGGGGGGGCAGAATGCCTGCTTCACACAAAAGTGTGAAGAGCTGAGCTCAGTCCAGGCACCCACATGCAAGTCTGGTGTCGCAGCAGCGGCAGCACGTGCTCACGATCCCAGCACTGAGGAGGCAGGGACAAGCAGATAGGTCCCTGGGGCTTGTAGAATATAAAGCAAGCTCCAGTAAGAGACCATCTCCGCGAGAGAGATTGTCTCAGGAAACAAGGTGGCCAGCTCCTGGGGATCACGATGTGCCTCACAGAACACAAGTTCTGTTCCCTTCACCCACACCGGGCACCTTACAGGTCATATCTGTAACTCCAGGTCCAAGGGGATCTCTGAAGACATCTGAATTCATGTGCACATACACATGCACAGACTCGGATAGCTACATGGGCATCATTAAAAATAGGAAATATCACTGCCAGGCAGTGATGACGCACACCTTTAATCCCAGCACTCAGGAAGCAAAAGGAGGTGAATCTGTGAGTTCAGTGCCAGCCTGCTCTATAGAGTGAGTTCTAAGCCAGCCAGGGCTACAGAGTGAGACTCTGTCTCAAAAAAAGAAAGGAAGGGAGGGAGGGAAAGGAAGAAAGGAAGGAGGAGAAAGGAAAAGAGAGGAAAAGGGAAAATATTTTAAATATTACAGTGACATAAAAATACAAACTATTCTGGATTGAACACTGAAGTTGTGAAATTTCTTACTGGAAACCTCAAAAACAACAACAAAACAAAAACAAAAAAACAAAAAAAAACCTAACAAAGCATTGCTGGAAGAAATGTACAAAGGTCTAGTAAAAGTAGCAGCCATACAGCTTATTTGAAGGAATTGACACTTAAAAAGCTGATTTTTCTCCCAATTGCTCTCCAGATTCAACATAATTCCATCATAATCCCCAAATCCTCTTCTATAAATAACTGCAATTTGGACCTAAAATTCATGAAAAGTTACAGAGGACCTGGACTAGACACAAAACACAACCTTGGCTGAATCGTTTTGTTTGAAAAACATAACCAGCGTCAGGCATGGTAACACACAAGTATAACCCAGTACCTATGGAGTGGAGGCAGGGGGATCAGTTCAAGAACAGCCTTGACTACATAGCAAGTTCAAGGCCAGCCAGAGCTCCCTGGCCTCAAAGCCGGAAGGCTCAGACCACCTGTCTTGAGACCTTTCCGAGAAGTTACGATAAACAGAACTGCACAGTAGAGACCCAGAGATAAACAAGTAGGCGATGGAACAGAAAACGGCACAGAAATAGACTCATTTGTCTATAACCAATTGACTTTCAGCGAAGGGAACCAAAGCTGCTCAATTCTTCTGAACAGATGTTCCTGGAACAACTTGATGGGGAACGGCTACACTCATGTTCTACTGAGCAAAGAAGGCAATTTGAAATGAGTGTGCATTTTATATAATGTTTTAGAAGAAAACACAGGAAATTATCTTTAAGAACTTGAGGTCATCAATTCACATCGCCAGAGGAACTAGGATACAAGGAGGAATCTAAGAGATTCATACAAGGTCCCTTACAGAAGGGGAAAGGGACAAGATCTCCTGGGCGTATTAGGAGGGGGGGGGGGCAGTGAGTGGAGAGGGAGCTAGGAGAAAGAGAAGGGGAGGAGAGGAAAGCATGTGGGACCAGGAAGATTGAGTCAGGGGAGGAACAGATGAGAGGAGAGAGAGAGAGAGACAGACAGACAGACAGACAGACAGACAGAGAGAGAGAGAGAGAATAAAAGAGGGAGCCATTATAGGTTTGATTAGAAAACTGAACCTAGAGAAATATCCAGAGACCTACAAGACTGACCCCAACTAACAATTTGAGCAACAGTGGAAAGGCTACCATAAATGCCCTTCCCTGATAATGAAATCGATGACTAACTTATCCACCATCATAGAGCGCTCATCTAGTAGCTGATGGAAACAGAAGCAAACACCCACAGCTAAACACTAAGCTGAACTAGAATCCAGATGCAGAGAGGAGGGTAAGACCAGGCTGCAGAAACCCACAGAGACAGCTGACCTGAACAAGGAGGAGCTCATGGGCCCCCAGACTGATAGCTGGGAATCCAGCATTGGACCGACTCAGAGCCCCTGAACATGGGTCTCAGTTAGAAGGCCTGGACAGTCTAAGGGACCTCAGACAGAGGAACCAGGATGTATCCCTGGTGCACAAAAGGACTTTGGGAGCACATTCCCCATGAAGGGATACTCCCTTAACCTAGAGACAGGAGGGAGGGCCTATTCCCTACTCCAAACGACTTGACAGATTTAGATGACCCCCTCCTGGAAGGCACCACCCTACATGTGGAGTGGGGGTGAGGCGAGGGGGGGGGCATGTAAAAGTGGAAGTGAGGGAGGGAGGGAAGGAGGGAGAGGAAACTTGGATCAATATGTAAAATTAAAAAAAAAAAAGAACTTGAGGTCAGCAAAAAAGGAACCATAGTGGGCGTCAGAATGTCTCCGCCCATGAAGGGCTTGCCTGGGAAGCATGAAGAACTGAGTTCCATCCCCAGAAGCCACATAAAAAGTACCAGGTGTGGTGGTACCCTTGATATGCCAGCACTGGGAAGGCAGAGACAGATGGATCCCCAAGGCTCATGGGCCAGCAAGCCTTGCCTAAACAGTGAGCTCCCAGCCAGTGAAACCCAGTCTCAAAAGGAGTGTGTGGCATTCCTAATAACCAGAGGTTGTCCTTTGGTCTCCATGTGTGCATACATGTGCACACTCCCCCTCACATGCATGAAAATTCAGGCATATGCATACATTTCTAAAAGAAAAGGAACTATAGTGTTTTGGGGAATTTAGTAAATCTCCCAAGATCAGAGGAGACTGGGCATATTCAGGGTGGTGTAGCCATAGACAGACTTAGCAAATCTTTAGGGGAAAAAATTCTTAAAGCTAATGGCCAGGGATGTACTCAGTGGTGGTGTACTGAGCATGCA